GCTAAGCCACTATGTATAAAACACAGCAAAGATGGACTCCTTCAACTAAATAGCATAAAAGACACACCCCCCCCCCCAACTCCAGCAATATGGTAGGCTGACATATCTGGACCAGATTCCCCACTTAACACTGGAAGGTTCTTGAGACTATGACAAATCTGATAACTCACAGAGAACAAGGTCAGAACTGAGTGACAGTTACCTGTGCCCTGAGGGCGTCAGCTGACTTGAAGTGGTGCTTTGGTCTTGCTGACCTTACGGAATCTGAGGACAGAGGTCAGAGCCCTGAGCATGCTCGGCGGGTGGTCTAACAGGACGCCCTGTGCACACTACGGGTACAGTATCAAAGGGCTTCTCCTTCAGCAAGAGTGGGGAGGGGACCGTGGCACAGCAGGGTCAGCCGCCACCTGGGACACTCACACCCCATACTGGCAGAACACCTGCTGCAAGTGCTGGCTACCTCGAGCTTCCCGTGCAGCTTCCTGCTTATGCACCTGCGAGACAATGGATGGTGGCCTGGGTGCTTGGGTTCCTGCTGCCTATGTGGGAGAACCAGATGGAGTTCCTAGGTCCTGGCTTTGGCCTGGCCCAGCCTGGCTGTTGCAGGCTTTTGGTGAATAAATCATCAGATGGAAGATGTGTGTGTGTGTGTTTGTGTGTGTGTGTGATCTGAACCCTTCTGTCTTTCAAATATATACATACAAACATACTTACATACATTTAGAGGGGAATCAGTAAATCCCCTCTGCTCATCTCATGAAAAGCTGCCTTGCTGGGGTGGAGAAGGTCTGTGCTGCTACCACAAGCCGCCAGTTTACAGCACCCTGGGGGTTATAGACGCTTGATCTTGAATTTAGATGGAAACACTGTCCAACTGGCAGAGTTGGGGGTCTGCCATGCAGCACATGCTGATGCCTCATGGCCCGTGGGAACCTCCGAACTGTTTTCTAAGGCAGTGGAGCATGAGGCAGGTTCACTGTGTCCTGTCTGCCTGCAAGGTTACCAACTTGTGAGTCCAGAGAGACAGAACACACACACACTGCAAGTTACACGAGGTGGCTTTCTCACTCCAGGTGAGCCTCGAGGGAGCACAGAAGTCTGGCATTCCCCGGGAGCCGGTCCTTGAAGGCTCAGGAAAGCTGCCCAGAGTGGACGCGGCCTTGTCTGCGTCCGTGCCAGCTGCACGGCATCCGAGGGGCTCCAGGATGCAGACCATCCTGGGTTTTACATCCTGAGGTGCTGGGATTTCTGGGCTAAAGGACGGTGAAGGACGTCTGGGGGCAGGGTGGTGGGGCAGCAGTGTGGATGCAGGGAGGCTGAAACGGAGGCCTGGTGTCGCTCCCCGTCTTCGTGGAGGAACGACACAGGACCCTGCACTGTTCTTTTGTCTGCTCGGCCCTTCCCGGGTTTGCTGCTGGTCCTTCCCGGGTTGGCTGGCAACCCCTCCACCTCCGTGGAAGGGCGGCTCTCCTGCCACTTTCCCCGCTTCCACGGGGGCGCAGCACACCGCCGGCCGGCTCTCTTGGGGGCTGCTCAGATGTTATCCGGATGTTCCTGGTGCATGTTGTCTCTCTCCTCCTTTATAGTCCTCTTCCACCAATCCCAACTCTGCTACCCACACGCCGAGTACGCTGCTCTCCTCCAATCAGGAGCAGGATCAGCTCCTGCAGCTTATTGGTCAAACTGGAGGCAGCTGCGTAGAAGTTGTTTACTCCTCTCCCAGCGTCATATTGTGGGAGAGCAGATGCATAGAATAAGTCTTAATTCCAGTAACTTAGTCTAGTCCGAGTTGCTCCCCACAGCCTGGCTGCCCAGCCAGTTCTCTCTTATCTCAGCACGCTGGACTCCCAGCACATTCCAGAGTCACTGCAAGTGAGAAAGAGCAGGGAGAACCAGGGCAGGAGGCGGCCCCTGGAGGCCTGGCCTGATAGAGCAGCTCTCAGAAGAAGTCAGGAACCAAGGGAAAAGGGTGATTTTCATGACAATCAGAAGCAACGAGAACAGATGATGGTAACACAGAAATTCCAGATATTGCAATATGAAAGCATGGATTCTAAACCTCGTTTACTAAGTTTAAATGTCTCAGACAATAGTAAAATAATGGAAGGTTTTCCTCTGCAATTGGCAATAAAAGACACCTGCCACCACTCCTAGATTAACTGTACTTTGGAGCCTTCCCCTATGCAATAAGGCATGAAAAGTAAAAGCTATATGGATTGAGAAGAAAGAAGCTATCATTTTTGAGCAGATATACAGACAACTTTACTAAAAGAACCCACAGGTCAATCAGTAAAACAAGATTAACAAGCCTGTTGAGCATAAAATCCAACCTGAAAGTGAGGGACATAGTGACAGTGACTGCAAAACACTGTGATGACACCAGTGTTACGGAATTGTGTACTTTCACATGGTTACAATGGTTAACTTGATGTTATGTGCACTGTACCACATCAAAAAGAACCACGTTAAAATATATTTATGATAGCATCAAATATGTCAAACCTATAAAAGTTCATGAACACAATTATGGAAAAATTATAAAATTTTACAGACATAGCAAATAAGTCTGAGAAAATACAGATGCTGATACTATGATTTTGCTCCCTCTAACTTGATCTATACACCCAATATCGTTCCAAATAAAATCCCAATATGTGTGTGTGTAAAACTTGACAAGCTGATTCCAAAATGTTCATGGAAGTACAAAGGGCCAAGAACACTCAACTCGCTCTTCAAGAAGGGTAAGGTCAGATGAGTCTCTCACCAGACTTCCTATAAAGCAATGAGAATTAAGGAAATGGAACACTACAGAGTCCAGAAACAGACACGTACACATCTGGATATTTGACTCATGGCAGAGATGGCCTTGGTGACAAATGCAGAAAAGACCAGCTTTTGAGTAAGAGAGATTGGCACAGCAGGGTGTCCACACTGGAAAAGAATAAGTAGTCACACCTCACACCAGCATCAACTTATGATGGATTAGACCTTAAATGTGAAAGGCAAAACCATAAGGACTACTTCTAAGATCTCAGGGTTGGAAAGTTTCTAGAATAAGACATTAGCCATCAAAATGAGGTTTAATAATTTGGGTTCTTTTAAAGTTCTCCTGTCCATCAAAAGACTCCACAAAGAGAATAAGAAGGCATGCCCAAAGCTGTAGGAATTCTGATGCCACTGCTTCCCGGCTTGGTGGTCTTGGCAAATTCAACCTCTCTGGACCTCAGAAATTACTCACAAACAGCAGTTCTACCATGTGGTGTTGAGGACCACAGATGGATTGTGCAGAGTGTCAGGTGGCAAAGTGAATGCCCAACAAACACCTGCAGTTGTGAGGAAAGTTGCACGCCTGCTGTTTGCATCACAGTGTCACAGGGCCACCAGAGTGGGTCCTCCAGCTCCGAGGACCAGAGCTCCACCCACCTTCTCCCCCTCCTCCCTGTCCCCACTCACTGCATCTCCACAGCCTGAGAAAGGGTGGAGGGAACTCCTGTATCTCCTCCAACCAGCTTCCCTGCCTGCCCTTGGTCACCAGGTGCATCCTTAGTGGGCACGCTCGGTGGGTGAGGTGCCCAGGCCGTGGCTGAGACACTGCACAGTGCAGTTGGTCAGTGACTAGGGAGCAGCACACAGACGCTGTCTCCGTGGCTGTGCAGGGACCATTTCTCAGTTATCAAGAAGAGAAAGACAGGCTTTGCAGAAGTGCTGCTGGGAAGAATTGTGCTAAGACGCCTTGAATCCTCAAGTGTAATCATGGTAATGATGGTTTTCCTGGGGTCTGAGAACCAGCTCCAAACTGTTTGCAATGATTTGCCTTCCCAGCCCGCAATGCCTCACAAATCAGATTCAGACTCTTTACATGTGTTGATGCTGCTGGGGGTTAATTACGACCGTGAATATTCATAATAGTCGCAATACCCTCGAATCTCCTATCTGCAATGGCAATCACTGAGCTGGGAAATCTGAGTGGATTTCCAAGGTTAAAAACAGTAACCCACTTTTGAGTTGAATTTCCATTCCATACCTGTTGTTCAAAAACAAACCTCATGTTTAAAAATCTCTACAAAATTTCAACAGTTGTCTCTTGACTATACAAATGCCGGACTGCTTTATTATAGAGACACAAATATAGCCCTGGTTCAGGTATTTTTATGTGGCTAATTCTAGCATACACATTTGTAGCACAAAGATAGTTTGCCTTCGTTCAAAATAGAACTTGCCATCTGGAAATGCTGAGAGGTAGAGGACAGCGGAGAGAACTGGGAGCTCGCTCTAGAGAACTGAGGACTAGGGCTTCGCGCAAAACACTTTTCAGGGATGTCACTGGGAGACGGTCTCGGGAGGCAGGGCCAAGTCTTCACTCAGGAATCAGAGAGAGGCTTTCTAACACGGGGGAATGCAGAGAGCGGGCTGAACATGCCTTGGAGAGCGGGAGGGTCCTGTTGGGACAGGAATCTAAACAAAAGCCAGGCGATGACTGTGGGCAGGAGACTGATAGGAGGACACGTGACGAGGGTCCCTGGGCCCTGGTAGCATACGCTGGGCTGAGGAATCCTGGAAGTGACAGGAGGGTCACAGTAGGGAGGCAGTGAGAGCAACGGTCCCCACACGTCAGGACACCACATTGCTCTCTCCCTCAGTTTCCCCACGTGTGAAGCGCGGACCACAGTTGGGAGGATGAAATGTGCTCAGATGGGTGAGGAACGCAGACGTGCCTGCCAACAGAGCAAGTGCTTGGCAAACGTCAGCGCTCACTGGTGTCGGCATGATCAGTCTGATTATTACCATCCCAGGAAGCTGGGACCTGGCTGCGCACAGATTTGTTTTTGAGGCATCAAGAGCCTTACAAAGCAAACGTCTGAGGTTCTGGTTACAAACAGAGACAGTCACGAGATGAGTCATCTTTAAACTTCAAACAACTGTGTCATTCTGGAAGCGGCACGCTAACAAACGAGTGCAAAGAGAGCGATATAACAAATGTCAGCCTGGGGAGGGGGTACCTTTCCTTTGTTTGCTCCCTGCTGCTGTCCAGGGTAGTTTTCGCAGACCTGGATGTCGGTCGGCTGCCTGTGAATACTTCTTCCACCTGTAATAGAAACACAGCGCATTCTAAGTGGTGCACTACTCTCTGAAGCACTTCTACAGCCAGTCTTTAAGCCCCTCTGTGCGGTACAGGAAGGCTTTTGTCACCGGTTGTATGTGTTCACAGCAGTCTTGCAAAGCCATGGGCTACCCTGTGATTGCTGAAGGCCTGGAAGGGGGATACAGTGAACAAGTTGACTCAGCGCATGTTATGTGAGAGCCAAAAAAACATGGCAGGCAATTTCCTGGGGTGCTGGGGAGCAGCCAAGATTGAGGTGCTGCTGCAGTGAGAAGCTCTCCTGGTTGGGAGCTCAAACCCCATTCTCTCCCCCAGCCCCAGTTTCTTTGTAAAAGCGAGGGAATCAGTTTATGACCTCAAAGGTGCCTTCTTGGTCTGAAGCGTCTTGTGATGCTACTGTTTTCAAAGTAGATAAGCTCAGGAGGAAGCACATTGAGGGTTCAGTAACACCGATCGGGTTCTACAGACACACTGCAGAGATCACTCAGACCCTGCACCCAGGCAAGAAGCCTGGAAGACAGCAGAGTGCAGGAGGGAGGAGAACCTGCCACGGCTTACAGACCCCAACCGTGTGCTACAGCACATGTCTTCAGCGTTAGGGATTTCGTGTGTTTTACTTAGTGCCCCACTGCCTCACACTCCTACTGGATAAGCATTGCTCAGAGGCCTACAAGAGGAACTGTCACACTCTCCCCTCCTGGTGACTGGGCCTATGGCCCAAGCCAGGGGTTTCTGCCCTTTCTTTGCAAGGTGGAGCATGACATGGATTGGATTGGGCATCCATTTCTCTCTCCACCCTCAACTGGTCCTTCTGTTTGGCGAGGGAATGACTTATTCACTAGCCACGTCTCCCTGGGGAACATGGTCACTGCTCCAAGAGATAAGGGACTTCTGCTCCTTCTCTGTCCTGCCTGAGGCTTGGTGTGCTGCACGGTTCTGGTGCAGGTCCATGTCTCTAGCAGGAAAAAGCTGAGCTGAAGCTTGGACTTTGAAGTCCGTGGCCAACCACCCAGCTGCCATCTGCCTGCTCAGGCAAGCACACTGGACTCAACGCTCTGCATTTGGGAAGGGAGTTGGGAACCCTGCTTTAGTCCCAACCCTAAGCTGCATTCTCACATCCAAGTTTTACGAGACCTTTCTATTGGGACACTGGGCACTGAATCGAATGAGTTCAAGGGGTAATTTGTTTCCCACTGGACTAGGGATTCTTGGTTGTAGGCTCCCCAAAGGCCCCAGCTCCTTATTTACCATGGGTGTCCTTCCACAAATGGATAAGGAGTGAGCAAACAAAGGACTGAGTCCTAGCTGGGGGTGCTGTGGTGTCAAACTCAGGAGGTGTGGGCTCCGAGCATATGTACCCCTAGACAGCAATCCTACACCACCATCGGGAGGTAGTGCCGGGGCCAGGGTTCTGTATGCAGTGCAGTTGTACAACTTACTTCCATGGTTTCTAAAAGTGCAAATGTATCTATCTACGCTTGGAAGGCCAGGAACATCAGTTGATCTTTCTCAGCAGAGGGTCTATGAGCCATGCAGGAAGAAAGATCTGCACAGGCACCACCTTTTCTGTATGGGCATTGAACACCAGACTGGAAAAAAGAAGACATAATACACAATAATAAGTACTGCAGCTGGCTCGCATGGTGGCCAAACTTTTGCTGAATCTCCCAAGAAAAATTCAATGAATGCTATAAAGACTTGAAATTTCAAGGCTGAAAGTTTGTTCAGAAACATTTTCAAAAAGGCATAAGTTTGCATGACAAAAGCCAGAAGAATGCTATGGAAGAACCAGCAACTAAAGTCACCAGGGCGGAGCTAACTGAATAATGAAGGAAGAGGTTTACCTAACAGAGCCGGCTTTATCATCAAACATAGCTTGTTTGTGAGTAGGCAAATTCTAACATGTTTCATTTGCTGTGTTTTAGAATACAGGGAATATCATCATTTTACGGTTTTCTCTTTTTTTTTCTCTTCTGGCCAGTGATGTTACAGGTTCGGATATTAATGTGGTAGGTATGAATGTCTATACTACTTTTAATGTGAAACTACTGGTTTGCTTCCTTTCCTTTAACGGAGCTAATAGGAAAAATGGAAAAACTCAATTAAAATTCAATTAAAAATATGAGTTTATTTTGGTACAAATCTTTTTGGAGTCCATGGCACAATTTTTCCATGATATGCATTTTCCACGTATTCTAAAAAAAATTTTTTTCACCCCCAATTTTTTGTACCAAAAAACTCATACTGTGAGTTCCATTTTCCGTGAACTTTTTGAAGTTTGTCATACAAATAGTTCATGTTGTGACCTACCCTTAAGGAAATGGAAACCCTTTTTAACAGCAATGGATTCCAGTTACAATTTACTACACTGTAGTAATGCCAACAGTGAAAAGAAAAACAAATCTGAGGAGAGACTACAAAGGAGTTCCCCTGGGTGTGGGGCAAGGAGTGAGGAGTGGCCGGTGTTAGGGCCAGGAGAACGGCCCCTCCTAACAGAGTCTCAGGGAGGCTCAAAGTAAGTGTGGAATAGTGTGGCCCCACAGAATTCTCTGTAATTCTACTCATTCCGTGATTTCCAAATATTCCCACATTTCTGATGGCGGGGTCTTGTGCCATCCAACAGAACAGCCACCAGCCACATGTGGCCACTCAGTGTTTGGGATGTGGTAGGTGCAGCTGAGACATTTGAATTTTATTGAATCTTGGCTCATTTAATTGCTATTCACCTAGCTGAAGCGATAGGAACCCAACTGCAGCCAGCCCCAGCCCCAGGTGTGGTGGTCTAATGATGAGTTTCACGGGCTGGTTTTCATGCAGGAAGGATACTGGCCATGGCCAGTCGCCCTTAACTCAGCTGAGATCTTAGACCACAGGGCTTTTTCAACTCTGAAGCTCTTTGCTCGCTCCTTCCTTGACATTCCTGGTACATGGCGCTCTCAGGTGAGTGTCAGTGTGAGAACGCAGGAGCCAACAATCCTGTCTCTGATCTGTGTGAGGCCTGAAGGCTGCCCTCCCTCGCTACACCATCAGCCACAGAGCTCAACAAGGAGTTGGCTGAGGCCCTTGCTCATCTGCCTCCCAGCTCCCCTTGTTTTCCCCCACGCCTGGCACACAGCTAGCTCCCTTCCCAGGTGCTGATCCCTAGGGCACTCCTTAATAAATATTTTGCATGCTCATCCCCATCTGAAAAATCTTTTTCCTGGGGCACAGTAGCACCTTAGCAACTTTTAAAATTTTTTGATATTTTAATTACTTTAAATGAGGTCAATGGTAGTTAAAATTCATTAAGGTATCAGCTTTGTAAAAAAAAAAAAAAAACTCTTGAAACTAATGTATAAGTTTTGTATTGCCTCACACTGTAAACGTACTAACAAGAACTGAGACATGTGCATAAATGAGTCTTAAAACACCCTGTTTCAACACTGTTATTTGTCATGTAACAAGCCCAGATAAGGATTCTCTGTGTTGATGGAAATGCAAATAGCGTCACAAATTTGGAACTTTTCTTCACAGGGAATTTTCTGTGTACCAGAAATCTAAATGTGTTTCTTATTTTTAAAAGGTATTTTCAATTCACTCAGTTGCAAAGATGCTTTTAAGTTTAAAAGTTAAAGAGAACCAGAGAATCAGCAGTAAGAAAAACATTAACACCGACATTGATATTAGCACTGAAAATCCATCTGAACACCACATTCCAATTAACAGCAGGTGAGATTCTCTGGCTAAGATCTACGGTGCCCACGGAGAGGACAGCTTTGGGTTCCCACTGTGCCTGTAGTCCAGAGCTGCCCCTTCTCTTGGGAAGTGATGTTCATTAACAGCAAACATAGTCTTATTTATTTGTGCTAAGTGAGTTTAAGGATGACGAATGGAGACATTGTAAGGGCCAAACTATGTTTAATAAATTAGATAATGTGAGACGAATGGTTTCCTGAATCCACAGAGAGAAATGTAATCAACTACTTGAAAATTCAATTGTGGGATGGGCATATAGGTACAAATTAACATTTTAATGATGCTACATTATTTTAACTGTCAAAGGGTCATACAAGTTAGGAGTGAACATGGAGTTAGTGACAGGGCTCACTTTTCTACACAACAGATGAATTTGCAGCCTTTGCCTAAATAGCTGCCTAGACTAGGTCTCACTGCTGTCTAATGTAGAACCCTGTACAGAGACCATTTACAGTTATTTGACAAAATGTATGAGGCTGCCTTACAAATATGACAGTTACTCATGCTAAGAAACGTAGACTTTGTGAGCTGGGTAAATGCACCGTAGACAGATGTAGGGAGATACTTAGCTCTCAATCCTCATTCTTTAGCTTGAATCACAGCAACTGTCACAATTTGACTGCTTTGGACCCATAAAACAGTGATTTCACATGGTTCAATTTAATATTTATGTGAATTTAAGTAACGATTGAGCAGTCACTTCATTTCAAATGAGTATTTGCTACTTGTAAATTCAAAGAGTGAACAAAGAAAGTGGAATATAATCAGAGACTACTTGTCAGGAAAGAAAATGTGAAATACTCAACATTTTAACATTTTCCTGTGAATTTAGTCTGGCTTCTTAAATAACGGTATGAAAATTACAACACACTTCTCTTTCTCTTGGATTTCACTTTCTCTCACAGTTTCAATTATTACCTCCACTAAATCTGTTCAAAGAAAGGCCTGGTGATCATCATATGCCAATGCAGGAATAGGGGTAAATATGGAATGGCAGATTCCTTGTCCCGCATCATCTCATGAGGAAGAGATAAACAATGAAAATGCATTGAGGAAAGTGTGATTGGCAATATCATCAATAGACTTCTATGGAAGCCCAGTGGAGGGAGGCATAGGGGTTGGGTGAGGAGTGGGGATCAAAGGCAGTTTACTGGAGGATGAAAGGACAGATATCAGTTTTTTTGTTTTTTGTTTTGTTTTGTTTTTCCCCAAGGAAACCTTTTATTTAAGGAATACAAGCTTAATGCATTTCATAAATACAACTTTAGGAATATAGTGATTCTTCCCATCATACCCAGCCTCCCACTCACACTCCAACCCCTCCTCCTCCTTGCAATCCCATTCCCAGTCCCATTCTCCACTAAGATCCATTTTCAATTAACTTTATACACAGAATACCAGCTTTATACTAAGTAAAAAGTTCAACACACAAAAACTGTTCCTCCACAGCTGAGACAAGGGCTGTTCAAAGTCATCGCATCTCGAAGTGAATTTCACTTTTTTTTTTTTTTGAGAAACTTAATTAACTTTAAAGAAGCACCCAAGAATGATACATCTTTTGCAGGCAATTAGGCATAACTACAACTTATGAGACCTAAACCTCCATTTAATACATTAAAAGAAAATAAGTCCTTGAAAACAAGTATTATCATTGGGGCTGGTGCTGTGGTGCAGCAGGTTAATACCCTGGCCTGAAGTGCCAGCATCCCATATGGGTGTCAGTTCTAGTCCCAGCTGCTCCTTTTCTGATCCAGGTCTCTGCTATGGACTGGAAAAGCAGTAAGAAGATGGCCCAAGTCTTTGGGCCCCTGCACCCACTTGGAAGACCCAGAAGAAGCTCCTAGCTCCTGGATTTGGATCAGCGGAGCTCTGGCTGTTGCAGCCAGTTGGAGAGTGAACCATCAGATGGAAGACCTCTCTCTCTCTCTCTCTCTCTCTCTCTCTCTCTCCACCTCTCCTCTCTCTGTACAACTCTGACTTTCAAATAAAAAATAATCTTCAAAAAACCAAGTATTATCATTAATTAAGGAAACACCTAAAAAAACAAGCAATGGAGTTGGACACTTAGGCATACTAAAACTTACGAGACATCAGATACACTTGATACACTAAAACTAAATAAATCTTTGAGAACAAGTTTTACTCTTCACTCTCACAATACAACTCTTTGAGGACAGAGTTCCTGCATAGGGAGTTAGTGCACAGTGATTCCTGTTGTTAATTTAATAATTAACACTCTTATGTATGATGTCAGTGATCACCCAAGGCTCTTGACATGAGCTGCCTATGCTGTGGAAGTCTTTTTAATCCACAAACTCTATCAGAATTTAGACAAGGCCATAAGCAAAAAGGAAGTCCTCTCCTCCCTTCAGAGAAAAGTACATTCATCTTTTATGACCACGTCTTTCCACTGGGGTCTCACCCACAGAGGTCCTTCATGTAGGACATTTTTTTGCCACAGTGTCTTGGCTTTCCATGCTTGAAATACTCTTGTGGACTTTTCAGCCAGACCAGAATGCTTTAAGGGCTGATTCTGAGGTCAGAGTGCTACTTAAATCAATTGTCATTCTATGAATCTGCTCTATGGACTGCTTCCCATGTTAGAGCATTCACTCCTTTTTAATTCTATTTATTATTATCACTTAATCCTACCCATATGATCACTTTAACACTTAAAATGTGGTTTTACCATCCAGCTTAAGAAGATTTGGGGTCCCATGCAAATTTTTAAACTGTATCCTTAGAAGTAAGTCTGTAGGAATGTATGTAGAACTATTCAGCTTTACAGTTACAAACTTCATACACTTCACAATTACAACTTTAGGATCATGGTGATCCTCCTCCCTTTCTTATTTATACTCTTATTTTTCACTAAGATCCATTTTTCAATTAACTTTATACACATATGATTAACTTTATGTTAAGTAAAGAGTTCAACAAATAGTATGAAAAAAAGTGTTCCTCAGTCAAGACAAGGGCTGTTCAAAGTCATTGCTTCTCAAAATGTTAATTTCACTTCTACATATTGCCTTTTAGGTGTTCTATTAGTTATCACAGGTCAGGCAGATCATATGGTATTTGTTCCTTTGGAACAGGCTTATTTCACTAAGTATTATGTTTCCCAGATTCATGCATTTTTTTTTTACAAATGACCAGATTTCATTTTTTAACCACTGTGTAGTATTCCATGGTGTACATATCCTATAATTTCTTTATCCAGTCTTCAGTTGATGGACTGGGTTGATTCCATGTCTTTGCTCTTTGGGGCTGGCGTTGTGGTATGATGGGTAAAGCTACCACCTACTAAGCTAGCATCCCTTATGGGCTTCAAGTCCTGGCTGCTCTACTTCAAATCAGCTACCTACTAATGGCATGGGAATGGCAGTGGAGAATGGCCTAAGTGGTTACGCCCCTGTCACCCACATGGGAGACTAGAAGAAACTCCTGGCTTCTGGCTTCAGGCTGGCCCAGCCCTGGCCATTGCAGCCACCTGGGGAGTGAACCAATGGATGGAAGATCTCTTTCTCTCTGTCTTTCCCTTTCTTTCTCTAAGTCTACTTTCACATAAATAAATAAATAAATAAATAAATCTTTTTAAAAAAGAAAGAAAACAGTAGGAGATGTGTGCCTGGCCTAATGGTTAAGACACCACTTGGAACGTGGACATCCCATGTCAGAGTGCCTGGCTCTGAGCTCCAGCTCTGCTCCGTATTTCTGCTTCTTGCTGTTTTGCACCTTGGGAGGCAGCAGGTGATGGCTCAAGTCATTTGGTTCCCACCCAACCGCTTGGGAGACCCCGACTGCATTCTCAGCTCTTGGGTTTGACCTGACCCAGCCTTTTGCCTGCTGTGGGCTTTTGGGAAGGAACCAATGAATGGGAAACTCTGTCTCTCTGTCTCTCAAATAACAATTAAATAATTAAGTTACTGCAGGAATTTCCCTGAAGACAGAGGTCATGTTGGGTATGAGGAAAAGTCTAGGGAGAACAAAAGGCATGAACAAAGAAAGGAAACTAAATGAGCACTTATACTAGCACAGAATATTAGGCAGACAGTAGCTGGAACTAAGGCAGAAGTGGGGAAATGTCCAGTCTTGGGGAGTTTAGCTGAAGGTCCTTGGATTTTTCACAAGAGGCAATGGGGCTCTTGGCAGTGCTTTTAACCCTTGGTGATATAGGTACTCAGCTCAGCTCAAAAGTGCTATCCCAAGCACACACCCTTAGTTTCCTTGGACAAGGTGCATGATATTAATAAAATTCCTAAATTCAATGAAGTGATAGCTTTTGGAAGAAGTATTTCTTTCTTCACTAGATACAAAATACATTTTTCTTTCTGTTTAGATAATTATAGTCAACGTTCTATACCCCACCCAATCCCACTCTGAAAATACTCATACAATCCTGTTGGGAAATGGTCTAACTATGCATAATGGCCATCAAGCTGATTCTAAGAACCCTCTCATTGAAGCTGTCAGTTAGGCTGTTCTTTGGGCTTTTGTTTGTCTGCAAACTACACAGATATGTATACAACAGCTGATGACAGTTTCACATGAGCTAGGTTTTGGACTCTGCACTGGAGATGAGTTGGCTCTATGTATCCTCTTGAAGGAGGTAAATTTTAAACCACCTAATGGAGAGAAACTCAATAACCCATATATTGGGAAACAATAATATTAGAATGTTGGTTATCTCCATGATGATCTATAAATTCAACATAATCCTAGCTGTCATCCCAATAAGATTTGTGTATGGAAACCAGTAAGTTGATTCTTACAGTTGTATGAAAATACAAAGAATATCTACAATGAGCATGTAAAAATGATGGAGGAATTGCAACCTTCAAGCTATATTATAAAGCTATGATAACCCAACAGAGTGTGGTATTGGCATAAGGACAAACAGATCAACGGAACAAAACGAAATCTAAAATAGACTCATCCTTATAAAGCCACTGCATTTTGACAAAGGTGTCAAAGTAGTTCAGTGGGGAAAGTAGGATCCTTTGGTGCTCCAACCACCTATTCAACTGGAAAACAATGAATGTTAACAACTTCTTCACATCACACTCAAAAATCAATTTGAGGGGTGCATATATGGTGTAGCTGTTGCTTCTTGGTATGCTCTCATCCCATATCAGAATGCCTGGTTTGGAATCCTGGCAGACCCACTTTGGTTTCAGCTTCCTGCTTTAATGAGCACCTTCCTGCCAATGCAGATGATGACTCAAGTACTTGGGTCCCTGCCACCAACTCACAAGACCTAGATTAAATTCCAAGCTCCTGGCTTTGGCTTGGCCCAGTCCCGGCTGTTGTAGGCATTTAGGAGTGAACTAACAGGGGCCTATGCTGTAGCATAGTGGGTAAAGCTACCACCTGCTGTGACAGCTTCCCATATGGGTGCTGGTTCAAGTCCCAGATGCTCCATTTCTGATCCAGCTCTCTGTTATGGCCTGGGAAAGCAGTAGAAGATGGCCCAAGTCCCTCCAGGAGACCTGGAAGTACAAAGTTTATATATTTATAGTTGATATTTTAATTCCAGATTTCATTATTTCTTTTTTTAAGATTTATTTATTTATTTGAAAGTCAGAGTTACACAGAGAGAGGAGAGGCAGAGAGAGAGAGAGAGAGAGAGAGAGGTCTTCCATCTGATGGTTCACTCCCCAGTTGGCCGCAACAGCCAGAGCTGTGCTGATCCAAAGCCAGGAGCCAGGAGCTTCTTCAGGGTCTTCCCATGTGGGTGCAGGGGCCCAAGGACTTGGGCCATCTTCCACTGCTTTCCCAGGCCATAGCAGTGAGCTGGATCAGAAGTGGAAAAGCCGGAGCTTGAACCCGTGTCCATATGGGATGCCAGTGCTTCAGGCCAGGGTGCTAACTCGCTGCGCCACAGTATTGGCCCCGATTTGATTATTTCTTAACTGTGTTCTGATTAACTTTCCTAAAACAAACATGTAACCCACTGAGCCTATTAAAAACTGAAAGTTGAGAGACTCCTATATATGGATTGCAGCTGATAACTGAAAATGATATTTTATGATAGAAAAATAATATACTTTTATAATCTTACTAGAGATAGTCTCAGTGGGAAACACCCTCCACTGATATGAAAAAGTTCATGCTTTTTCTTGCTTATCATTCATTCATTCATTCAACAAACATCTACAGTTCATCCACGATGGGCCAGGCCATTTTCTAGGTCATAGGGATTCAGTAATGAACAAAAATACTTGTCTTCTTGAAGTTAAGTTCTAGTGTACGTGTGTGTATGTGTATGTGTCTGTGTGTGTAGGTGTTGTTGGGGGTGTAGACAGCAAATACATGAATGTCTCACACACACACAGACACACACACACACACACGGCATTTTCATGCTATGAAGAAGGATGAGACAGCAAAGAGGCCCTGGTGGGCTGGAAGGTGGAGGCTGCATATTAATCAGGGTGTCAGGGAACACCTTATTAAGCAAGTGAGATTTGAGGACAGACCTAACAGAGCTAGAACAAGTCATTCAGGGAGCTGGGGGTGGAGGTTTTTTTTTTTTTTTTTTAGAATTAGCAGCAAGTGCAAAGGCACCAAGGGGCAAGTATGGCCTGCACAGTAGCAGCAAAGGAGACAGGAAGGCGACATGGAGACAGCAAGGGAGAGGATGACAAGCTGGCGGAGATGCCTGTGAGAGGCCTTGGACACGCTGGGGAAAATGCTGGTTTGCGTCCTGGGTGCCGTGGGAAGCTGTCGGTGATCCCCAGGCAGAGAAGGATATAGACATGGTCTACGTGGGCCTCAAGCCCGCTAGGCTGCAGCACGGGGACCCACCACAGCAGGCCGGAGCACAAGCAGGGAGACTCACAGGGCCGCTGCCTTAGTCACCCAGGACAGGGAGGGCAGTGGCTGGATGTGGGTGGTTAAGGAGCAGGTAGCAAGCAGCGGTCAGCTCTGCGTGTATTTTGAGACAGAACCAGGAGGGTGTGCAGGTGGGTTCCAAGTCGGGGGCAAGAGAGGCAAGCCAAGGTTGTCATCTGCTGTGTGCATTCTGCCAGCGTGGGCTTTCCACACCTCACACGATTGCTAAGACAATGGGAAGCAACCACGTTTGTCCTTCTTCCCCTCATGCCAGCCCTACCTGAGGGCAGAGATGTTCTAACTCCTCTGAGCAGTGAGGCCCAGTCGGGCTCTGCTCCCGCGTTTACTGTCCTCATCCTCCTGGTCTTGCCACCTCTCCCTTGCTCTTCTCTTCCCCTCAAGAGCAGCTGCTTGCCCTGTACTGATTATCTTTAGGGAACTCTCGGGGCGGGGAGGGGGCTGGCATCCCTGTTCCCACGAGCTTCCATTCTGTGGCTCCTTCTCATGGGAGGCATCCCTTCTCCTTCAAACCACCTGGGAAGATAAACAAGCCCTACCGTGCTGGGTCATGCGTCACATCTCACGACTCTGCCCCTCCTCTTCAGCGACATAGGAAGGTTTGGGAATTTCTTTTGGAGGTGATCTCATGAGAGACGTGGGGAGGACAAGGGAGGCGAAATCTCGTTTGTCTCCTCCTAAAAATAGTTTTCATCATTCCAGAGTAAAAGGTCCAGTGGCTATGAAAATATTTTTTCCTTGTGGCAGGAGTTAGTCTTGTCTTCTCCTGACATGGGATGAGGCTGAAAACCCTCACTAATGTGCAGGCTCCACTTCTGTAAGGACCTTGTGGGAATAAACAAGGCCAGGAGAAAGGGATGCCTTCCTCGGAGGAAGACGACGCCTGGGAGGGAGCTGGGGCATAGCGGCCTCACCCAAGACGAGGGACCAGGAGGAAGACCCCGTGGGGGCTGGGCGCAGGTTGGAAAGGACTCCCATGATAAGCACCTGGTCTGCTCTCTGTTTTCTGTCACTCTAACAGAATCCCTGATGCTGGGGAATCCATAAAGGGAAGAGGTTTATTCTGGCTTACAGTTCTACAGGCTGGAAGTGCAAGGTCAGGCAGCTGCACTGGGCCAGGGCCTGATGCCAAAAGTTGGAAGGAGAGAGGGGAGCCTACATTCCAACCCTGCCATTAAGGAATTAGGGTCCCATGAATGGGCGTTTGGCTCCAGCTCCTGACTCTATCATTTTGCTAACATAGATCCCGGTAGGCAGTGGTGATGGCTCAAGTAATTGGATTCCTGCCACCCATTCTAGGAAACCTGGATGGAGTTTCTGGCTCTAGGCCTTGGCAGGGTCAACTGTGGGCATTCTGGAAGTGAACCAGTGGATGTGAGCTCTCTCTCTCACTCTCCACCCCCAATAAAAGAATAAATAAAATTGTACAAAAAGGTTTCAACACCTGGATTTCGGTGGCCACAGTCAACCCACAGCACATCTGATGTATCCCAGTGACACAGGAAGATCTAACACCACGGAGGAGTGGGAGTGTTAATGAGAAGGGGATCTCAGGCAGAGAGGAAGAGGTCAAGGCTAGAATCAGAGGACCAGATGAGCAAGCTGGGGAGGCACAGAGCCTGTCAGCACAACATGGAGAAGCTGTGGGACCCTTTGCGGGAGGGAAGGGGAGAGGAGGAGGATGCGGGCAGCAGGGGAGGAGCAGACGCAACATGGCATCTGTGTTGAGCTCATCAACTGAGTGCAAGCTCAAAGCCAGAGCTCCAGATATTTCTCCAATGCCGCTCTTTGTTGCCCTGGCAACTGGGCCCTGGGAACTGGACCAAGGGCAAGAAAAGCCACATGCAAATGAAGTAAATAATAAACAAAGCCGGAGCCTGGACTGCCCCATCAGCACTGCCATGGGAAAAGGTACGAGAGCACTGAAGAAGGTTTTACACTGAGGTGAAGCCCCCTGGCCCCTCTGCAGGGTGAGGCCCAGTGACCTGTGGCTTCTGCTGCTGACGGAGGTGGTGTTCACCTTAGATCTTGCACGAGCAGACAAATATCCAGTCGGACTTGTCCGTGCTACTCTAGCCTCCGGCTTAGGAGAAAACCCTAGGAATCAGGGCCCTAGAATTTCCAAAAAGCAAGGCTGCCTCTCCTGCTGGTGCCCCACGTCAGGGTCCAGGTAGACGGGGATACTGGCCTGGGTCCCAGCCTCCAAGGGAGTGGGCAGAGATAGCAGACAGGGGACAAATATTCGAGTAATCACTGCTGCCAACAGCAGCTCTCGGCAACCTAGAACGGTGTCTGGTCCCCGCTTTTCCTACTCATTTGCCAGCAGATGGAAGAATGTCCTTGCCTTCCACCCTGACTGGCCAATAGGCAAAGGGGAGACAGCCCACTTTAGATGGGGACTTTGCAATTCTGCAGAAACTATGAATCAGTCACACAAGAACAGCATTTGTGTTCCCAGTCAGTCTAGGGTACTGCTTTACCGGCAGAGAGCCAGTCTGGGTTCTCACCTCTTTGATCTCCTTACATAAGCCCTATACAGGGTCAAAGGGGTGAAGAAGGGAATTAAGTTGAAGATGCACCTGCTGGATCTGGAGCCCACAGGACCCTGCCATTACTGTGGGCCTCTCCTGCCCTGCCTGCAGCCAGGGAGCCCTCTGCCTTCAGCCCTGGGAACCTCAGCTGGCAGTGCAGGGCCTGGGAGCTCCCAGTGCCTTCCTTTCTTGGATCAGGGCTGGCTGTCCAGGAGGTCCTGACTGGATCTCACAAACCTGGGGCCTGGCCTTCATCTGGCATCTCTGACATTTTCATTCTTTGTATGCGTATGATTTATTCATTAATTTGAAAGACAGAGAGATAGAGTGAAAGTAAGAGAGAGGTCTCACATCTGCTGGTTCACTCCCCAAATGCCCACAGCAGCCAGGACTAGGTCAGGCTGAAGCCTGGTGTCAGGAACAGCATCCAAGTTTCCCACGTGGGTGGCAGAAATGCAACTACTTGGGCCATTATCTGCACATGAGCAGGAAGCTGGATGGGAAACAGAGGAGCTAGGACTTGAACCAGCACTCTGACACGCAATGTGGACATCCCAATAACCCGCGGCACCACAGTGCCCACCTGCGATATTTTTCTGACAAGCATTTACTTATTTGAAAGCAGTAAATATCTTTTTTTTTTTTGGACAGGCAGAGTGGACAGTGAGAGAGAGAGAGACAGAGAGAAAGGTCTTCCTTTTGCCGTTGGTTCACCCTCCAATGGCCGCCGCGGCCAGCGCACTGTGGCTGGTGCATCACACTGATCCGAAGCCAGGAGCCAGGTACTTCTCCTGGTCTCCCATGTGGGTACAGGACCCAAGGACTTGGGCCATCCTCCACTGCACTCCCGGGCCATAGCAGAGAGCTGGCCTGGAAGAGGGGCAACCGGGACAGAATCCGGCGCCCCAACCAGGGACTAGAACCCGGGGTGCCGGCGCCACAGGTGGAGGATTAGCCTATTGAGCTGTGGTGCCAGCCAGTAAATATTCTTTTAAAAGTGACATTTGTTCATTTGACTTTGAGGACACCCAGAAGAAAAGACAGCCCGGCTGGTCTAAAGAGAAGCCAGACAAGGTACAGAGAGGAGGCCCATGGTTTGAAAAGAGATCTACAGCATTGAAGAAAGCAACTTCCTGCACATACTGGGCTTTCTTGCCCCTGTTTTGATAACGTAGCCAGGTAACTGCGCAGGTATATTCCAGTTAATCTGGCAGGAGGAATCACAAAAGAAAGGACAAATTCCGTTATACCCAGTTTTGATGCAGAACAAGTTTATAAATGAGAAAAATTCTGATTAATCAATTAATTTAAATTTTATTTGAAAGCTGCAGAGAGAAAGAGACAGAGAGAGAGATGTGGAAAGGCATCGTCCATCCACTGGTTTACTCCCCAAACGCCCATAACAGCCTGGGCTGGACCAGGCTAAAGCCAGGAGCCAGGAACTATATCCAGGTTCCCCACATAGGTGGTGCACATTGAGCCATCATCTGCTGACTCCCAGGGTGCACATAATCAGGAAGCTGGATTGCAAGCCACGTAGCTGGGACTCAAATCAGGTGCTCCAATATGAGACACAGGCATTCCACACAGCTGCTTAACTTCTTCACCAAATGCTCACCTCAGGAGGAGACAGTGATCCCACAGCAACCTGGCCATAGATGAAACGTCAAGGCATCATTTATGCTTGTTTAGATACAGGCCTTATAGGTTAAGACTTTAATTTCTACTTCTGCAAAATGAGGATAATGATTCCACCTGTTCTATAGAATGCTCACAGTATTCAACATGGAGTGTGGGGCTCGTGGTAGATGTTCAACAAATATTAGCTATGGTGTCAGTTTTATCATTAATTGGCATGAGGACAAGCAGGAGAGGCTATGTGGCCTGTGGGATACCCCATTTATTTGAGGTTTCTGACAGAAGAACCCCATGATGCTCAAATTTAGTGCTCTTTAAAACAGAATATTATCCATTTATTAATATGTGCTCATGGGAAAGTGAGACAGGCAGACTTCAAAAAGTTCATGAAAATATTGTGAAAAAACTATATATGGACTTCAAAGAGAATATGCACCAACCTTAATCTACATTTCAATTTCACTTAGACACAAACATTTAGAAGTACCCTCATATAACTTCAGTAAACCCTGATTCCTTCATAGAAAAATAAACAAATATTCACAGGTCAGGGGGGTACTGTGGGGACTGAGTTGTGCAAAACATATAGGACAGGATAGAAAAAAGTGCTTGCTAAATAGAAGGAGTTGTGGATTTACCATAACTCTGAACAGGTGCCCAAATCCTTCAGAGCAGGTGCAAGGCTATTTTATTTTCCTATTTGTCAAAAGCGCAGCATAGTGTCTCACAGGCAGATGGTGTATAACACATTTTTAGTTTGTGCAGTGAATCTACACATGCAAATTCTAAGTATAAGCCCTCTAGTTAGCTATTACCTCTTTAAATATTATCTCTGCCCCATTCTCCCTTTCTGTACCATATGGGACTAACTAAACTGAACATATATTAGGGCTTTCTTACCATATTCTACATTTTTAAGTATCTTTGTTAAAATCTTATCTCTTTGTGATTCATTCTGGACACTATTTTCCTTACCTATTTTCCAGTTTTCTAGGGCTCTCTTGAGCTGTGTCTAATAAATTCACTCATTAAATTTTAAAACTAGCTTATCGTATTTCAGTTCTAGAATTATTTTATGGAGTCCTTCTCAAATATACTCTATAATTTGCAGAGTTTCTGGTTCCTTATAAAACATTTCAAGCTTCAATTTGCACCCTTACATAATTAGCATCAGTGTATGCAGCAGACATTGTCAATGTCCACGCCAAAACTTTTGACTTTTCCATGCGCCCTAGCACCTCCATGTCTGTGGCTGGAGCCTCCTCCTTGGGACAGTGCAGGACCAATGCTTGGTCAGAAATGCCGGGGAGTTTACACCGCCACTACCACCTACAACAGGGAACAGCTTTCAGGAACTGCTGTACAAATACCACAGTTCATTGCTCCTTAGATAGAGTAATCCTGAGCTAGGTGTTCTGCATCATCTCCTAGTTTCCTCACTGGGGTAGCTGGCTAACCAGAGCACTCTGTATTGGCTGCCTTCCCTTCCCTCCATTCTGACCAGCATCTCCTATTTCCCAAATTCACTAATGCACTGAAATCCCCAATATAAGGTTCTGAAAAATCCAATTTTAAAAGTATTTAAGAATTTGTCTACAATAATGGTGAGACTCTTAAAGTTACCTCTAAGGAAGAGGAGCAGAAACCTGGCATAGCCAGATTCCAAAATACTGACTGGGTTTCTACCGGAACCCACTCTAAGCTCCAGGCGTGTCTAATTTATCCCTGTGTGCTAGACACTTATTTGGAATAAGTAAATCAGTAAATTCCTTGACTTAGCATGCATGAACCCATTGTACGTTGAATACACAGTAAGAAAAAATGCAGTTACCACATACAACTGGGCAAACAGTGCAGCAACACAATGTGCTATGGAGGTGCTAGTGTGGCTCCTCACCATTGTGTGGCTGGCCAGGAACTGTGCCCCCATTGCTGCTGCCCAGCCTAACCCTAGGAGTGCTGGATCATGTACCACTAGCATGGGAAAAAGACACAAACCCAAAGTATGCTTTCTACTGGACGCATGGCTTTCATGAAGGGAGTGTGTGTGTGTGTAAAGTTTGAGACTATGGATGAGGTTAATGTCTTACAGAAATGATTTTCATTGGGGTTTGTGACACATGTATGTGTAGGTAGTACTCATCTTAGACTACTTCTTCTCAAGTTCAAGACCCAGTGTGGGGCCAGTTAGACAACGTGAAGACAGGCTGTGAGACATTCCGAGGAATGTCTTACTTCTTACGCACCATGCTCCCAGGCTACAAGCTGCTGTCAGAGGCACATCTCAGAGAGGCAGGGGTTCACTAAAGTCCTGGCAGGCTCTGGACTTCGACTCTTTCTCTAGTTTCCCTATGTGGTCACTAAAAGCATGGCTTAGCCTAGCCTTTCAGCTATTCCTCCTATGCTAGTAGACAGTATATGTTCACTATCCTACTCGGTGTTGACATCAAAATGTGTTTAAGATAGTAGTTAAAGGGCAGGCATGTGTTGCAGTGGTTGGGATGCCATTTGGAATGGCCATACCCTAAAACTGGAGTGGCAGGGCTGAAGTCCCCGCTCTGCTTCCAATTCCAACTTTCTGCTAATGCAGACTCTGGGAGGCATCGGGTGTTACCTCAAGTACTTGGGTCCTTGTTGCCCACATGACAGGCCCAGACTGAGTTCTGAGCTCCTAACTTTGACCTGGCTAAGCCCTGGCTGTTGTGGGCATTTGGGTAGAGAACCAGTGGATAGTAGATCTCTGTTTCTTTGCCTTTCCAACAAATAAAAAAATAAAGTTTTAAAATAAAGTTAAATATATAGCCCATCATCCAAAGTTCTCTTCAGTGTGGTTACTGCTTCTTATTAGTTAGTTGGCAATTGGCAGATAATGGAGTTCTAGAGATGATATTTAAGGTCACAAGAGTAAATGAGCTTATGAATGGATTGAGTATAAATAGGAGAAGGAGTCTCAGGAGTGAATGATCACAGCCAATGTTCGGAGGCCTGGATATGAGACAGAACTAGCAAAGAAATGGTAAGAGTTGTCCAGCAACAGGAGCACCAAGCAACACAGGAGGGAACCCAGAGAAGCAACGTGAACAAGGATTTTAAAATGGAAGGTCTCATTGTTGATGTATAAATCTGCTGGGAGGCCGAATGGGAGGGGGATGCAGGACGACCACTGGATTTGGGATTGTGGAGAGCACGAGAGACCTCAGAAAGAGATGTCTCAATGGCAGGAAGTTGGGCACGCGATAATGCCTGACGGCAGCTGCTGCTACAGATGACAAGAATAGAACAGGTCAAAGAAGCCAGACCCAGCTGTCTTCTCTTCACTGTGGTGTCTAGTATAGAGACAGACTATAAAAACTCTGTGGATGTCGTATCCTTTGGTGTATAGTTATCAACATCACTTCAGCGAATCATACCATGTAGAAGACAATATATTCTTTCCCACGTTAAAAAAAAAAAGAAAGAAAGCAATGCCGCTGAGGAGGGAGGCTAAGTGAGGACCCTTGGGGGTACTAGGAATGTCTTCCTCTGAATTTACGTATTGGTTATGAGTGTGCTCAGAGCACCAAAACTCTCGCTTATTGTACACGTACGTACATTTTTAGTATACAAACTGATTTCAATAAAATATTAATAAAAGAGCAGAAACAGCAGTTATAGAGGTCTGCTTTACGAGTTTTGTAATAAAGCAACCAGGGCAATAAATAGAAGGGGGTATTTTAATTTTGTTATGTTTCTTTTCTAAACATTTTATTAAAATACGGTGTACACATATCAACAAATGCACTTAGGTATACAGGTCAATGAGTTTTTTTTTTGTCATCTGGTCACTCTCATAATCAACGCCTAAATTAAGAACAAAGCATCCCTGGGGCCCAAGAGTTCTCACTGTTGTGGGAGATGTTTCAGCCTATTTTCTAACGTACGATCCAGAGAAGTGAAATTAGATGAGGCAGCACAGAGACGAGGGAACTGCCAAATGAGAAAACGTGATCTGTCCAAGGTAAGTGGGAACAGGATCCAACAACACATATATGGAGCGTTGGGATGGACTGTGGGCAGTCAATTCATAGAATTAGAGGGAAGGAGGGTTTGGCAAGGGACCATACATGCAGGTAGACTGGTAGATAAAATGGTTGATGTATATTGCAGTTAGCTTTCTCTTCAGATTTATTTATTTGTTAGAAAGGCAGAGTTACTCAGAGAGAGGGAAACACACACACACACACACACACACACACACACAGAGAGAGAGAGAGAGAGAGAGAGAGAGAGAGAATCGTCCATCCACTTGTTCATTCCCGAAATGGCCAAAGCCAGGAGCCAAGAGCTTCTTTCAGGCCTCCCATGTGGGTGCAGGGGTCCAAGCACTTGGGTCATCTTTCACTGCTTTCCCAGGTGTATTTGCAGAGGGCTGGATCAGAAGTGGAGCAGCCGGGACTTGAACTGGTACCTATATGGGATGCTGGCACTTTAGGCAGTAGCTTAACCCACTGAGCCACAGCACCAGCCTCTTAAGTTACCTTTTGACACTTCCATTTTTACAGTGTTGGAGATTTTAGGAATGAACTGAGAATAAAAAATAAAAGTGAAAAAAATATGAATGGAACAGGGACGCCTAGAATGATGACCAGGCGGTTTGGTGGACCCACTTGACAACTGGAGAATAAAAGTGAGTTTACGGTGGGTCTATCTCAAGTCCACTTGAGTGGAGGGAAAGCACTATGAAACATGGATCCGAGCAGTAAGGAAAAGGGAGTCTGACATTGTGTCTGCAGGGTCGTGGTCTGTTTGACCTTAACATGTGACCTTCACCTCCTGTGCTCAGTAGAAGCAGAGTCAAGCAAGATGTTCAGCAGATGGCAACTTCCTTAATCTCAGTGAATTACTCTGAAAGAACCCCCGCAGGAAATCGCAAAGCATATTCTTGGAGTGCTCCTGCAACTCGTCAGTTGAGAGTCTAGATGGGAGTTGAATGTAATGACTTGACGCAAGCGAATAAGGCTCTCAGCGAATGCAGCGTTTCAGTGAAATCTTGTTAAGCTGGACTGCGGTGAGCTCATATGCCAAATACTCCCAGGACGCTGCTCATCAGATTGTTTATGTACATATGATCTGTCTGACTACAAATATTAAAAAAAGGCTCCACAGTAGCATGAATGCTTGGAAAATGTGATGGGGAATTATCTCACTCAAAATGGGAACTGAAGCCACACCTGTGGTATTTATAAACTTTGGAAATTGGGTAGCAACTTTAGCGAGAAAATATTCCCACTCCCCCGCCCCACCAAACTATTCTGAGGGCATAAAATAATAGTAATAATGGAGAAACACCCTACTGATTAGTCTTGATAATGTAGATATATCAGTCAATTCATCCCTATTACAATCCATAAGTCCAATGCAATGTCAAGAATTATAAAACAATACTAAGAGCCATTGATACTATTTAACAATGTCAGTTCCTAGTGATGAATAATAGTGATTAATAGAAAACATTAACACAGTATGCATTTCATCCCAAGTGCTGTTCTAGGGCTTTCCTTACATTCATGCACAGTATCCTCAAGACAGCCTTTATTATCATTATTATACAATTTTGGGATGAGGGATTGGAGGCACAGAGAGGTCAGTAAGTTGCCAGGGTCACACAGCTGCTGGTTGGCTGGTTCCAGAGCCCACTCCCATAATCATCTCCACTGCTCCTAAATCTCCATCAGTGAAAATCCCAATGGTCCTTTGAGGAGAATTTGATGAACTGACTTTCAGATCATCTCAGAATACTCACATTGAAAAAGTAACCAGGCAATGGTTGAGAGGGAGGGGAATAGGGGAGATTCATATTCCAAACATTGAAATGGATTTTAAAATGCATTTAATGTATTTACTCAGAAAATTATTGAGCAGCTGCTCTCTGCCGGGCTCTGTTCTGGCTTCTAGTGACACAGCAGTGACAAGGACTCACAAAACCCCATCTCAGACGAAGCTTGACTCTTATCTTGGAGAAGAGACCAGGAGATACGTAATAAAACACGTAGGCTCTCAGGTGCTGGTATGTTCAGTGGATATGTTCGGGGGAGGGATACAGAGTGCTGGGAGGGGGAGGAGACTCTTCCTTAAGTGTGGGGTCAGGAAGGCCTCCTTCACAAAAAGGGACTCGGGCAGAAACCTGAGAGTGGTGAGAGCAAATGATAGTACCTGGAGGAGGAGCACGGCAAGTGCAAAGGCCCGGGAGCAGTAAGAGGCTTCCTCGCATGTGGGTCAGCAAGGAAGCCACAGGGGGCCAGCACGGCTAGACCAGAAAGTGGGAAAAGATGCTGATGGCCGGTAAGGGGTGGTGGGGCTTGGTTGTCAGGGGACTTTGCCTCTAACTCTGAACGAAATGGGAAAAGTAACTGCCTTGATTTACATATATAAAACAACCACTCTGACTGCTATCTTGAAAATAGAGTTACTGTTCTCCAAAGCAGCGTGAGTGTGAGTTACAACGGGTGGCTGATGATACCGTTGCTTTGTGTGCCTTGACTGAATACGCCTAACGTGATAAAAGGCCACAGATGCTGCAGAGTGAGATTCTTTTCATATCAGCCCCGAAAGCTAGGACTGGTTATCAAAATAGTGCCAGAATCCAGAAAGAAATGCCACTAGCTAGTGGGAAGATTACGACAAAGCCCACACAACACAGCGTCCTTATTACCAGTCCTCTATCTCCTGGGCAGGCGATCCTCCATTGCCTGGGGCTGCCTGTGTGGGAAAGCCAGGTCCGTCACGGAATTTCCCAAAATAAACATGGCATAATCATCGCAGGCACGGCACAATCAAAGGTCAGCTCTCTGCAGTGTTCTTCGCAAACACCGTCACATACAGGGAACCACTAGACATCCAATCTAATGCCCTTTCAGCTTGGAATATCTGAGTATTATAAACCACTAAGGACCATCTTAGCTATTTCTGGAAGAGCTAAGTTTCACTCATGCTGGTGACACTGTTCTATAAATGAATTGAAGTTGAACCCAAGTGTCTACTTGGTTCTCTTATTTTAGGTGGAGTCAAATGGTTTTGCTTATTATTTACATTGCTTTGAGTCAGTGTTTTCCAGCATTTGAAGCCTAATTATACTATTTTCTTTTGAAGCGTTTGTATATTTAAGGTCCATAGCATGACACTATGGAAGATATTTGGACGAGTTAACATATCTATTGTTCCACGTAATTGGTCACTTCCTGTTTCTGTGGCGAGAGCAGTTCAAGTCTGTTCATGGAGCACGGATCCCCAGTACGGTGGAATTTTAGCACATACAGTCCTTAGTGTGTACAGCAGGTCGCGAGACTTGTTCATCCTATGCATCTGCTACTTCGCATCCTCTGAACTGCAGCCCCAGCTGACCTACAGCCCCATCCTCTGACCTCCATTTTCTCTCCAGCCCACCCATCCCTTGTTCCTGATCACTAGTGTTCTGTTTTCTCTCTGTGTACATTTCAACTTTTATAATATTTCCCTTAGCATAATGTCCTGCAGGCCCATTCTTATTATAGCAAATGGCAAGATCCCTTTCTTTTCAGAGCTGAGTAATATTCCAGTGTATATACTCACATGTGCACCACTGTTTCTTTATCAGCTCAGCTGTCAATGAACGCTTAGGGTGACTCTCACAACCCGCTTCCAGATCCCTCTGTGGTTCTAATGCAGGCCAGAGTCACACGGTTCCACAGTGAATTAAGTCTGGGCTTCCAGAACAGCACAGTGAACTGAACTGCCCTACTCCAGTGAATTTTTGACGATTTTTAAGGAAGAGCTTGAGAGTCCACGCAAATAACTCTGATAAATGAAAAACAACTGATGTTGGGCAAGAAATTATTCTGCAAAGCCTGCTTTTGCTAACAAAATACATTTCTTTTGAGATAAATGATGCTAGAAGATGCCTCTAGCATAACACATACATTAAGGTAACATTCATAGGGTTGTGTGCCCGGCACCATGGCTCACTAGGCTAATCCTCCACCTGTGGCGCCAGTACCCTGGGTTCTAGTTCTGGTTGGGGCGCCAGATTCTGTCCCGGTTGCTCCTCTTCCAGTCCAGCTCTCTGCTGTGGCCCGGGTTGGCAGTGGAAGATGACCCAGCTGCTTGGGCCCTGCACCCACATGGGAGACCAGGAGGAAGCACCTGGCTCCTGGCTTCAGATCAGCACAGCGCCGGCTGTAGCAGCCATTCGGGAGGTGAACCAACGGAAAGGAAGACCTTTCTCTCTCTCTCTCTCACTGTCTAACTCTGACTGTCAAAAAAAAATTAATAAGGTTGTCTAAACTCTTAGAAAATAAGAGTGTATTTCAAAAGGTTTGTGGAAAATAGAACTAAAAGATCAGTTTGCTGTGGTGCAGCTCTTAAATGCAGTTTTTTTCATGACGCACACTTTCCATGAGCTCTCTGACAGCCCCGCGTTTTCCAAGTTTTGCACCTGAATGAACTCATCTTTCAGCTCCGTTTCCCATGAACTTTTGTACAGAATCAGAAGAAAAATGCTTACTCAGGTTATGCTGAGGAAGTAATAGAACCATTCCTAGTCCCTCGATATGCAGGATCTTATCTTTAACCTTGTACTTTTAAAATGCTTTTTCCCTAATAAGCCATTTAGAAGTTTTTGTGTGTCTTTACATTAAATGTGAAAAAATGCAGACATAGAAAAACAAAAGGATGAAATGGAAACAGGATGCTGTATTTGTTTAAAAGTGTTGTGAGTGGTGACAACAGGGGTTTCTCAGCAAGTGCCTGGCACCCTGTTAGAGTATAGGAATCATGTCTTGATTTCTCTCTAAGAAATAGCAGAGTTCCCCTTTACTCTCTGGCTTTTCAAAAAACAAACAAAAAAGCTGGTGATCACAGTACCATACAAAAAGTCTGTTTCCAAGTCCTGGTGTAATTAAGTTACTTCTTAGAGTTCCCTATGGGATATTCTAGTTAATTTGGAGCATTCTGTTAATTTGTTGTAGTCACCAAATATAATGCAATTCTTACAGTTAATGTTTGTTATTTCATTACTTGATAGAAAATTGTATTTGCTCTCTTATTGCCCCAGAATAAAACTATATAATTGATTACTTATAATCAATCTGTTGGAAAATTGGCTACAGGAAAACAATTACTAAGTCGTTATAGAAACCACACTGGTTAACATAGTTTATATCCTTTGTACCAAGCACTCCTTCCAGTCTGCTTTTCTTCCTCACCAGCAGAGCCCCACTTGACTGGTTTATCTACTCTTCCCCTTTGAAGTCAGAGCAACCTGGGCAAGACTGACCTCACCCCCAAGCTCATGGGAAATAGAAGCCAATCACCATCCCCTTGGCCAAAGATTGGTTCAATTGTGCAGGAGTAAGCTAGTCAAGCCTGGATGGACTCTTCGGCTAGACTGTTCTAATCAATCCAGAGGAACTCTTATCCTCCCTCCTCTCCTTCTCTGTTTCACTTTTTGGTCTCATGCAAGGCAAGAACAAAAAAGCACGCTGCCTGGCGTTCATCTCATGGACGGAAGCCAGTCTGAGGACAAAAGTGACATGTAAGACAGACCCTGAGCCTATCTGCCTGGCTTCCTCTACCTTCTGTTCTTGTTACAAGGTGAGAAATGCTAACGGTTACAGCCACATGTATTTGGAGTCTTTGCAGCTTAAACTGGAAACATCCCCAGCTAAACTATCCCATTGTGGGGAACCAGATACTCCAGCACATGCAACACTTCCAGGCTTTAGAAGCCATAGACACTAAATTTAACTCACCAAGGAGATGCAATCCATATTTTCACCTTCAGTTTTCCTCTCTACATTCAATGAATCTCCAATTCTATTTCTTTAGTGTTTTTCCAACTATATCATCTCTGTTGTCAACTATTTCATCTCACTTGATTCTTCAACCACCTCCAAACACTGGTCTGTTTCTCTGTTCCCATTCAGAGAAGAAATTCTCAGAACAAGTTGTCTGAATGCTCGTTTCCTCCTCAAATGGCTAATTTTCTCTCATCTACCCTTTCTGACAGTTTCCATTGTCACAGTCTCCCTAAGACAGCTTTCATCCAGACCACTGATGGCCTCCGCTTTGTTAAGTCCAATGATCATGTGTGTCCTCATCATACCCGACCTCTTCCTTTCTTCTTGAAACCCTTCCCTGATACCACATGCTTCTGCTTCTGGTTTCCTCCTTAACTCATTGGCTGTTCATGCATAGTTTCCTGACCAGACTCCTCTGCTCAACCACAAAGTGACAGAATGCCCACCGCTCCAGCCTGGGCCCTCGTCTCTTTTCCATCCAAACTCCTATGTCTGTAACCACCATGTGTATGCTTATTGCTTCTACTTTCATAGTGCTGGCTCATTGTCTCCTCTGAGCTCAAGGCTTTTATATGCAAATGCATGCCTGTGATGTCAACTAGATGGTTCAGAACATCTATAATTCAAAATGGTCAAATGAAACCATAATTTGCTTCCCCTAATCTGCTCCTCCTAAAGTCTTCCCCCTTTCGGAAAATGACACCAGCATCTAACTATTCGTTAAAGCCAAATATTAGGAAGCATCTTTGATTTACTTCACAATCGATATCTTGCCGGTACCAGCATCAAAATGCATCCTCAATTCAATTACGTTTCACTGCCTTCCCCACCTTGGCTGTGGTCTCCCCGCTGGATGACCTCATGCAACCTTCTCACTAATTTCCCCTCAGCGCTCCTTTCCACCCTTTGATTCAGAGTCCATGGAGAAGGCAGAGTAACATTTTAAAAACACAAATCAGGTCATTTTAATCCCTGCTTAAAACTCACCAATGACTTCCTATTGCTCGTGGAATAATAATAATAATAATAATAATAATAATAATAATAATATTGCTGTAGCCCAGAAGACTGTGTACAAGGCTGATTCTGCCTGCGTTTCTGCCATGTTTTTCTCCTCTCCTCATGCATCACATTCCTGATAGCCTGGCTGTGTTCACTGTAGTGTTCTGGGAGCAGTGGCCGCATTCCCACCACCAGTCCCTTGCACACAGCATGCTCTTTCTGCATGCACCTCACCTTTATACATCTGCAGCTTCACATCAGCCAGGTCTCAGTTGAAATGTCATCTTTTCACAGGACTGTTTCCTGATCCCTCAATATCCCTCCACTCCTAGCACCAGCCTTATTTTCAGCCTAGTGCTCATCTCTACCTGAAACAAATTTGTCTGTTTAATTGTACACGGTCTGTCTTCCCTTCTCTGAAGGGAAAACAGAGACTTTAGTTCATTCAGCACCTGGAAGAGTATAAGGCTTCAATAGTCACTCAATAAATACAGAAGAATGAGAGGCAGGCACTGTGGTACCACAGGTTAAGCTGCTGCTTGGGACACCCACAGCCCGTATCAGAGTGCCTGGGATCCCCCTTCAGATACAGCTTCCTATTAATGCAACTGGGAGGTGGCAGATGATGGTTCAAGAACCTCTGTCCCTGCCAATCTTGTGGAAGAACTGGATGGCTGTTATAGGCATTTGTGGAGTAGACCAGCAGATGGAAGATTTTTCTATTTCTTTCTCTCTGTGTGTCTCTCTCTCACTTCTCTCTCCCCTTCTCTCCCTCTCTCCCATTCTGCCTTTAAAATAAATAAAAACAAAATATAAACTTCATATTTAAAAAATACAATTATAGTTCATACCTCTGTCATTTTCCCCCTTGATTTATCCAGTAGCAGCCTCTCCCATTCTCCCATCACATCCCCAATACCAACTGCATCAAGTGATGTTTGTCTGAGATCCTCCATGAATTTTCTCCTCTATACCCTCCAGCTTTCTCCACTTTCTCACATTTGCCATATGCCACAGCCACACAGAACCATTTCCATTCAGACTGTGCCTCACACCCGTGGCCTCCTTGCCATATGATCTTCTTCTTCTCCATGTATCAAACCTCACTCACCCTTCAAAATCATGTTCTCACATTTCCTCCTCATGAAGCTAAGCGTCAGGAACTCTACTATTTCTAGCAATGATGCCATGATTGTTTATCTTAGACTATGGAAAATCACTTGTTTACATTCTTGTCTCCCTTCCTAGACTGGTATCCATGTAGGCAGTCAACAAATGCTTGCCGAATCAAACAGAATCGAATCTGCCCCATGCCATATCAAAAATACACATTTACCACCCCTAATAAGAAGAGGAAAAAAAGAATTTCAGTTTGGTCCACATCATGAAAATAATACTAGCAAAATTCATTGTATGCAAACCATGCTATGAATTTTACATGCTTTCTCTTTCTTAAAAGTGGTATTAGAAAACAGAGCCCTAGAAAGTACTAGTTTGGAAGTCCAACCCCATCTTTTCAGAGATCTTGGGCATGCTTCATCTCCTCTCGAAGTTATTAGCAAGGAAAGTACCAGTCACCACATAAAGGACGTGTTCAGTGGCACCTGCTTCACTTGCAAGAACCACGCGATTCATCCATCCAGCTGCCGTCCAGACTCTGGCCTGCAGGGACAAGAACTGCTAGGGAAGCAATGGAAGAACGAGCCCTCACAAGCCTGAACCGCAGCCCAGTCTCAGTTCTTTTCTCCTCCCAGATCTCTGTTCTCCTACCTCAGCTGCTGTGAGGAGGTTTTCTGGTCCTCTCAACCAACAGATTCAATCAGAAGTCATCACTAGCCCTGACTGGTCAATTTCCTCCAGGAACCGACGAATGCTGAGGTGACGCTGCCTACCTTGGGCATGCAGACCACCAGGTGCCCGGTGGTCTGGGATCTCTTGGCAGAGCTGCTGTCAGGTCTGACTTCTGCAGGAAGGACAAGCTGAAATGGCTGAAAATAAGCAGGCAGCATCAGAAGAGTAGGGACACATCGAAGAGCGGATTACTGCAAGAGATGGTCTAATTACCAATTCAAGCTTCGTATTCAATTAAGACATGCACTTAGACTTATTAGTAAAAAAATTGCATGTGAGCCTTGCCTGATATGCATGAACTATTTTACCTATGTTAATGAATAATCTAAAAAACAGTCATTAATCACAAATAGCAGAACACTCATGGGACTGTTTATGGCTTCTTGTCATAAAACATCAACAAATTTCCATTTTAAAGGCTTAATGTTCACCCATATAAATGCTCAGAATCAGAAAAACATATTGTTTCAAAAACTGTATATATTTGCTATGAATGAAACACTGATAGAATAGGTGTGCAATTTAATCTCATACATAAGCTGTTATACATACAAGGGTGCTTCAAAAAGCTGACGGACAATGGAATTAAAAAGATATGCTTATTTTGGTGCAAAAAATGAAATTTATGCACACAAGGGGTCTTCAAAGAGCTCATGGGCTTGTACATTATGAAAAATATAGATTTCAGGGCCAGTGCTGTGGCACAGCGGGTAAAGCCACCACTGCAGTGCTGGCATCCCATATGGGTGCCATTTAAAGTCCCAGCTACTCCACTTCCTATCCAACTCTCTACCTGGGAAAGCAGTAGAAGATGGCCCAAGTCCTTGGGCCCCTGCACCCTCAGGGGAGACCTGGAAGAAGCTCCTGGCTCCTAGCTTCTGATTGGCACAGCTCTGGCCATTGCGGCCATCTGGGGAGTGAACTAGCGGTGGAAGACCTCTCTCTCTTCTCTCTCTCTCTCTGTCTCTACCTCTCTGTAACTCTGTAACACTGTCTTTCAAACAAATAAATAAATCTTTAAAAAAGGAAAATATGATTTCAAAACATTTTGCATCCAAAGAAGCATCTTTTAATTCCATTGTTTTTCCTGCAAACTTTCTGAAGTACCCTTGTCTGATCACTGTGCTACCAGCTTGGTAGAATGGTGCAGTACAATAAACACAGGCTCCGCCTGCGGCGCCAGCAGCCTGGGTTCTAGTCCTGGTTGGGGTGCCGGATTCTGTCCTGGTTGCTCCTCTGCCAGTCCAGCTCTCTGCTATGGCCTGGGAGGGCAGTGGAGGATGGCCCAAGTGCTTGGGCCCTGCACTCGCATGGGAGACCAGGAGGAGGCACCTGGCTCCTGGCTTCAGATTGGCGCGGTGTGCCTGCCGTAGCAGTCATTTGGGGGGTGAACCAACAGAAATGGAAGACCTTTCTCTCTGTCTCTCTCTGTCTAACTCTGCCTGCCAAAAATAAAAAAATAAAATAAAATAAACACAGGATTACAAACTCGCTGTCTCAAGCTACACAAGGCCAGCAGCCATTTCTATTTTACACCATTCCCATGGTCTAAAATCAAGTGCCTAAAACAGCATTCGGATCAGGTTTCTTCTCTTTCTCTATTGGAATCATATTTAAAAATTAGGGCAACACAGCTCAGTTCAAATCTTAGCTTTGGAAACTGATAGTCAACGGGGTCAGACATACCTTCCCTTTGACCATCACTCGCACGTAAGTTGGCTGCACATCAACGTCAATTAATGAGGTATCCATGTATCTTTAAAATGAAACATATCAAATCCTGTAAGCTTCAAAGCCGTTTATTTTAAACAAGTGCAAACACAAATTCACACTTACAGGAACATTTTAAACACAGCTTAATTTTTCCATGCTAAACAGGTCTTACAAACCTCGTCTTAAATTAATCCCCAGACTAAAGGAAATTCAACACATCAGCAACTTCAGTTTCAGACCCACAAGTACACTTGGCATTGATTGCCCCAAACCAAAAATATCTGAGGTCTGAAGCACCAGAGGTTTCCAAAAAATAGCTCGCTATGTTTTTTCATGAGTATTTTATTTTAAGGCCCTGGAAGTCTCAGAGCCAGGAATGCTGAGCCCAGCACGCTTGGGGCCTGAGCCCGCAGCTCCTGCTTCCTGGGAGGCTGTTCTGCAGCTGCCCTGATAGCATCTCTCCTGGAAGAGGAGCACAGCCTGCTGATCCAGCAAAGCCTTCCATGGACGCCTGTGACCCCACGATCGAGTGACAGCTTTTCTCCTTGACTTGTGAGCAAACGGGAGATGTGGACTCCCCAGCACTCACTAAAGAATGAATAAATATATACATATAAATATAAATAATCAGGTTGAGTCAAACAGTTACAAAAGACTGAGTGCGCTCATTGGGAAATGCAGTGATGAGTCACTACTTGCAAACACGAGGGCAGGGAAGCTAACACACTGGCTGCAGGCACAGGCTTCGGAGCTGCACACACTTGTGAGGAGCTGCGTCCACCCCTTCTTGCTCTAACACCCTGCCCTGCATGCCTCAACTTCCTAAACCTTTGCTTTGTCATCTGCAAAGTGGGAATACTAGTCGTGCCTGCTTCGTGAGATTGCTATGGAGGACAGTTCATAGTACATGATTATACAGTGTTAATAAACTATTATGTTATTTCATGAAGTGTATATAACAGTGAAAGTAGAGATACCATTTCCCACAACTTTATGCGTAATATCTACCGCTTACATGGCTATCTGCTCTTCACTGGATTTCAGCCCCTAACACACTCATCTGTGCCGACCTGGCAAGCCCTTCCTCCGCCAGACGGCTTTTCCTGCCAGCTCTTTGTCGAACAAGCTCCTTCTCATCCTTCGAGTTGCATGGCTCAGATCGTCAACTTGCCCTGAACCTAGTATACCCCACTGCATACCGTTCTTCTCCATCCCTGCACACTGCCTCTTTCCTCTACAGCACCCTTTTCCAATGGAATTAGTCATTAAGATGCCTGACTAATGTCTGCCTCCAACAGCTGTCGCTGGGACAACGCTGCAGGAGAGCAGAGACTGAACTGAGAATACACCGGCGATTGTCTCCCCGTGCCTGGCACAGGATAGGCATCCTGTAGGCATCCGTTGGATAAAGCCGGGAAGTATACATGAACTAATGAGCTTAATCTTCGTGTATACTCCTGGGTGCAAATACAGCCAACAAGGAATTTCAGTGCAGTTCACTGAGGCAGAATTGTGGCAATGGAAGGGTTTTACGACAGAGTCGGGGGAAACATAACCACCATTAAAGTTCACACACACGGGATGAGCAAAGTTTCCATTTGAGGACTGAACAGGAAGCAGGCAATGGAGCTAAAAGAGAAAGGATTACACATTCATTGAACTCCGGAAATAAGGCCTGGAAATGGAAAGGACTTAAAAAGATGGAACAGTGGGTGTTTAATTGAAAAACAACAGAAATAGCCTACTGGAGAGTTTCAGGGACAGAAGACATCAAGTCGGCTGGAGAAGAGCTGCTGATTCTTTGAAGGAAGGTGATCAGGCAAGCAGACAGGCAGAGAGCTGCCGTGAGGCACAGGAGAGACAGCTCACTGGGGAGCAGGGACCAGACTAAGAGCTAGACTTCCCTTCCCCAGAGCCAAAACCAGGCAGTGAGTGGATAAGAACTACGTGGTATATCCATACTACGGAATAAGGTTCAGCCATGGAAAGAAATTCCTACACGTGACAGAACGAGGGAGGAGTTTTACAGACATACAGAAGGGCAGCAGCTACTTACAGGTACTATCCGGAATAGGCAAACAGGTACAGAGGCACAGCAGGTTAGGCTAGCCTGCCTCAGGGAGGGAGAAACAAGCAGCGATAATGGGGATACAACACTGTGCACTTATTAAACACCACTGGGTTACACACCACAAAATGGTTGAAAGAGTGCGTTTTAAAGTTACGTGTTATTTTATTACAATTCAGAGAGCAAATGTGGATGAAGGCCTGGGGGCTTATCCCCTGGCTTCTCCATTTCCTGTTTGCTTTGATGAGAGGTGCCCTGTGAATGTACTCCCTGGTGGGTAAACCCAGGATGACAATCCTGCCTACTTCCCTGCATTACTGAGCAATGCACTAGAGAATGTAAAATCCAGGACCAGAGAAAGATCTTTATTATAATTCAGGCATACCAGGGTCCACTGACTCCATTCATCAGCATTCATTCATTCATTCATTCATGCCTGTAATCACTGAGTTCCTAACAGGTGCCAGGCACTGTTTCAGGTCCTAGAGACACTGGGAGGGAAGAACACACGAAGTAAAGCTCATGCCTGGACCATACATGTTAAGAGCAATCAACGAAGGCTTTGTCGGCAGGCATGCTGCGGTGTTAGGCTCCATAGCAAGACAGAGAGGCTTCCCTGAGAGGGGCACAAGGCATGCATCCATGAGGATACGGAGGGCCACAGCGACACAGGCAGAGAGGGCAGCATGCGTGAGAGGCCCCTGAGATTGGCAGCTGGAGGTCAGGACAGGGAGCCAGCAATGAGGCAGAGTGAGCTGAGTGGCTTCCAGTGACTTCCCCAAGGAAGGGGAGAAGGTGACACAGGCTGGGGGTGGGAGTGCCGAAGCTGCAGAGCGGAGGGTGGGGTGGGAGGGGCCGGCTTTACTGTGATGTGGTGCTGAGGTGTGAGCACCTGCCCCTGGCATGGAGTTGGGGGAGACAGGAGTCATGTTCTAGGAGGGAGGCAGGGGAAGCAAGGGGCTGCTGGAGGTGCCCCGGCTGACTGCCAGAGCTCGCTGTGTTATCAAAGTCTTCTGGAAAATACGAGGAAAATCAAAGCGACGCGTCAGGAAGAAGAGCAGAGGGGGTTCCAGCAGTGTCAGCATCAGAAACTGGAAAGCCCTGAGGATTACTTAAACAGCCTTAGAAATTCCAGAGTCCACAGCCATGGAATTGTGGGCTTCTTCCCTTTATCCTCATGCTCTGACAATTAAAAATCCTCTGTCTTAAAATTAGTCTTCATCTAATCACATGTCCAATCAAGCTCCCCTTCAAAAGGTTTCAGAACTTAGAAGACGGCTGCTGAGGATGAAAACGGACAGATATGTGAGTTAAGTAAATACATAATGAAATGTCTTTACCTATAGACAGTGAGGTCCAGGATGATCAGGTGATGTTTTTCGTCATCTTTCAAAGAGAAATCAAGTCTAAGAGTGATACATGGGGGGGAAGGGGGGAGATAGTATCTTTAGAATACTGCATAGGTTCCCCAGTCACAGAACCCAAAGTAAATTTGAAAATAACCATATATAATAATCTTCAATGACAAGCTTATTTTGGTAGTTAGATAATAAAATGTCTATGTTAATTTTAAGACTTGAACAACAACCTGCTCTTTATCAATAAATTATTTATGTTTACATTGTTTAAACGTAAGACTCTTAAGACACAAAGAACTAACTTTGGTGCGGAGATAGAGACATCTGGTGGCTAAAGCTTTCTTCTCCATTTTGCTAGGAGCAAACTCAAACACTAATTATTTATGGAGAACTAAATGCTGCAGTTGCTTGCTCTTTTCCATACTTTTATACTGCTTAAGTTGTAAGGAGTTCTGTCTTCCTTTTTTCCTTGTTGTCTTTCTTCTCTTTCCTTGCTGGAGCTTTCTAGTGTGCTGGATGGAAAGGCTGAGCCATGCCAATGATTACTATGTACTTACAAATGAACAGAGGTTCGGAGAGGCTGGCATAGCTGCGTGAGAGGACCTATAGGCCTGGACGAGAGGATTTTAAAGCTCACCCTGAAGCTGGGTCCTAGGTATAGTTTCCATACTGTCAACATACTGTTCAGAATTACTTGGTCAATTTTGACTATGGCATGCATGATGTTACTCTATTACGTGTGTGTGTGTGTGTGTGTGTGTGCGTGTGTGTCCCAACAATATTAAACAACGTGAGCTAACTTATTTGGAAAACGCAGAGTTGGCTACAGAGCTGGTGGTCAGAGGTAGGTCCTATCGCAGCACACACTCTCCCACCGCTCCCAACAACCCAGTCATGAGGGCCACCTTCAGCGTCTCAAATGGCCCAAGCCTTCTTTACTCCATCTCAGAGCCTTGTCGGGCCTTCTTTGCCTGTTCTCCAATTCCCCAGCCAGACAACTTGAACTCTCCCTGCGTGCATCACATGGAAGGAAATTTTGAGAGGCTTCAGAGTAAGTGAGTCATTTCCCAGCCTCTGCTCCTCCTGGTTTTAACTAGGCATGTGGCCATGTAGCATAAAATAAAGTATCTCCCAGGCTCCCTTGCACCTAGGTGAAGTTGGGCGATTTAGTTCTATGAGGGAAATTCTCTTAGGGCAGGATCCAGAAATTGTCCTTAAGAGAAGAGTGGTTATCTTTTCCTCCTTTCTTCTTGATGCAGTTGAGAACAACAGGTTGCAGGAGGCCAACACAGGAACCATGCAGACCACTTAACAAGCTGCTACCCTTGTCAGGCAACAGCTGGTGTCGGCTTGTACCAAAAGTGGTGGTGATGGAGCTGATGGGAAGCAGTTGGATTCTGGTAATGCTGAATGAGGAGCTCATCAGGTTGACTGATGAAATGAGAGATAGAATAAAGGATAAAAAAAAGGTTCTGGTCTTCACTACCAGGAAAATGCTTGCCCCTGAGATGGAGAACATCCGGTGAGGAGTTGTCATGGGGATGGCGGCCAGGAGTCCTGTTTTAGGCCTGGGCTTGTGTTAATTATTTCATATCAGCACCGTGATGTTAAACAGCTAGCTGAGTGGCTGAGTGCAGGATAACTGTGGAAGCCAAGCCCTCGAGAGGAAGAGGGTCTGGGGACAGGGAGCAGCAGAGACAGACCTCCGACAGGCCGGTCACCCAAGGTAGCAGCACAGAGGGGGTATGTGGACCGCTCCAGGCTCATGAGGAAGGAAGAGGGCACTTCTGGCTGCTTCTGTTTTTTCAAATAAGAGAAAAGGTAGAGACTACGGAAGTGTAAGGTTGTGCTTGCGGTAAGGAGAGAAGGAAGGGTGTGAGAGCAGCAGAGTGCACTGCCCAAGAGAACACCAGGAGTTTGCTTGAGTCCACTTGGGACCTGAAGGTTCACGGATGACCAGTGAGCAGAGGCGAAGGCTTCCTCCAGCCACGCATGAGGGCAAGCTCAGGAGCCAGCGATGTGCTAGATGTAAACAGGGTTGGGGTTTCACGAGGTGAGGATGAGGGAAGGAGGGAAGGAAAAGAGAGTTCTAGATGTTTGCCAAGGACTGACTTCTGTGGGGAACCGGGAAAGCAAAGCAGGTGCGAGGAGCTGGGAACATGAGCGCTGGGGATGGGAAGCAAAACAGCAGAGTGAGCTGATGGTCTCAGTGAAGGCACACGACTGCTGCAGTGTGGGGAGCTCCACAGGGACACAGGGACACAGGACACGGTGCTCGGCGAGACGCTGGAGATGAAGATTCTAGGCGTGGCAGATACTGATGGTGGCCAGACTGGGAATGAAAATGCAATCACATAGCTGAGCTGAGGTGGAGAAAATGATGGTCAAGAAACTGGGAGACCAGGACTTTTGGTGGATGGTCTATGTTGGTGATGAGGTCAGAAGACCGAGGATGGCAGAGAGGTGACGAGAAAGACACTGACGTCAGGGCTAAGACCTTCAGTGACCTGAGAGGGCAGAGGGTTGAGGGCTAAGCAGACAGTGCAGTAAGGAGATCAGGGTGGGAGGACATTCAGATGACCCGTGTTTCAGCAGAGCTGGAGATTTAAGGGATAGAGGAGAAAGATGGCCTGAAAGTAGCTCTTGCCGTGGTCTATGCGTGGTGAGCGGCAGTAGCAGTGGAATCCTCAGCTCCAGACAATGAAAGAAGACAAAGTGGCATTGAGAGAAAAGGCTGAGGTTTCAGGTTTGGCTGACAAAGCATAAGCTCCAGGGGCACGGTGGCAGGGGTAGGGGATCAGGGAGAGGACAGAGAGTGAGTTGGATTCAAGTCATATGGGAATGAGACTCTGAAGGAGGACAATGACCAGGGAGGGGAAGTCAGAGAGCCCAAGGCATTGTGGGACTAGGTGGGCATTGGGGGAGGGGTGGACAATGAGATTGCCATGGACTCTCCCTAAGTGAACTGGCTCTAGGGGAAGGTAAGATGGTCAGTGTGGTAGTCTTACCAGGGACACTTGAAGGGTCTCCCTTGAGAGCCATCACAGGCTGAAGAGAGATGATTTCACCACTACAGTTTTAAGCTCCACCAGAGTAGAAACCTATCCTATGCAGTGCTGTATCCCCACTGCTTCACCTAGTGTCTCACACTGCCTTCCTGTCTGCCGTTTAAAGGTTTGTGGAGGACATGGAGATTCTCCCGCCTGCTGGATGAAGGGTGTGTGTAGGGGCGAGGGGAGATTATAAACCTGAACATGGAAATCACTAGAACTAGACACACACCACCTGTTAGCTATATGACCATGGGCAAGTCACTTCACCTCTCCCAGGCTCAAGTTTGGGGCTTGGCAAAAAAAAATATTGCCTACGGCCTGAGACTGCTGAGAAGACAAATGATACCTGGGAAAGACTTGAGACAGTGACTGTCGTGGTAATGGGTTAGCAAATAAAATAATAAACTAAATAGGTTTTGAGTCATAAAATGAAGTCAAGAGTTTTAGCCCATAGTCTTTTTGGTCTGTATCATGGCTACAAAAGACCTTTTTGGCATGCTTTCTAGTTTTAATTTTTCAGACAGACAGGGTAGACCAGGTATCATTAGATTTGAGAATTTCCAGATTGAATACTTTTCCTCTCATCAACTTTACTCTTGTATTTATATCAACTTCTTCCCTAGATCTCAAATGCTTTGTAGATGTGTTCCAGAGTATAACATAGATGTGCAGGAGATATATCAGTATTCTCAGCCAACTTCTTCATGGAAGAGTTCGAAAGATTTATAAGTGCAACAATAACACAGTGGCAATTTTTAGGCATAAAATTGTATATGGACCAAAGCTTTGTGGGATACACAGGGAACTAAGATTTCCATGTGCCTAAACCATCCTCTGGATGTCAATGAAATTATATATGTGAAACGATGATAGATGCTTTGCTTTTAAATAAGCACAAATGACATTATTTGGACTCAGCAAACTTGCTGAAAGTGGTCAGGTATAATCTTTGCAGAGTAGACCCATTTTCTGAAATCATTGTAAAGCCCACTGCCACCGATGCTGCGTCCAGGTCTCCACTTGGCCTACGTACTTTGGCTCATTTACGTTCAAGACCTTCCCATCATCAGTGATCAGAGTCCTGGGCGGCTTCATGTTCTTCTTTTTTCCACTGAAGATCAGGGGTGGGTGGGAACCAGGGGCAATGGTGCAGGGTGTGGCAGGAAAGACAGAGGGGAGAAAAGACAAAAGCAGGTAATATTTTAAAATCAGTTTAAGAAAAATTAGGCAGACATATGTAAATATATCCACAATTCACTGTTATGAAACTCATTCCTTTAGTTCTGTGCTTGAAACTCAAAGTCAAGGCAGTTTTTTTCTTTCTTTTTTTTTTTTTTTTAATATGGTTGTATCTATGTCTGCAAAGTAAAAATGTGACCAAGACAATTTGCCAGATAATTTAAATGGGGGAGGAAAACTCCTTTTCATGAAATATCCATGAATATTTAAATGAATCTATTTTATGCATGATTTACCCAGATAACTGTCAATTCTCCATTTGTGTGTAGAGCTTCTGCTTTAGTTAAAATTACAATTTTTTAAAATAGAAGTGGAATCTATTCTACAGAAATAAAAATTCTAGTTCATAAGGATCTATATAAAAGGCAACTTCTCACAGCATTCTCTGTCGTGGCAAAATCCTGGAACTACTGGGAGTGTCCATCAGTGGAGGAGTGAGTGGATCAACTGTGGTACATTCATGCTGTGAAATATTTTGCAGCTATTACAAATGTGTTTTCTCTTTACCTATTGATTAGTTGATGATGTATTTAGTGAGAAAAATGTATAAAATATGAGCCTGCTCTTGTTTTAAATAAAAGACTGCAAGTCCTGTATGTGCTGAGATGATTTCTGTGACTGCAGAGAGTGGAGGAAGATGTGGTGGGGTTCACGCGAGCCTGTTGACTCTCATTACACTGAGGGCAGGATAGGATGCAAAGAAAGGGAGCCAGGGAAATGCAAGTGTGGTGTGTGCGTTCCATTTAAAACATTACTGGGAATGCATGCAACTTAAACAGCCCTATGTGGACAAGGACTGGAAGACCAGATGGACAAGTGTATTTAGATTGTGAAACTGCAGGCAATTCTTTGCTTTGGATGTCTCTCATTCTTGTAAGGTGGATTTTGTGTCAGTTAACCTTATGTTTTAAAAGAAGCACTCACATTTGCTCTGCACCTTGAACTGGGCCCCAAGACCCAATTAAGTTAATATTTTGATGACCCAGGACTATTAAGGGGCATCCAGAAGTACCTGGTTTCACTCGACTTTCAATGAAGACAAGGGCAATGTATGATGAAATATTTCTCTTGTCATTGCTTTCTTCCAGTTAATGTAAATAATTATGCAATCAAAAAACCAAATACCTCAGAAACCCACTGGATTAGGCAGACAATAGCACACTGAACAGGGTAATTTACACCTATGTCCAACTCAACCTTATTTTTTTTTAGGTGTCAGAGAGAAAACATATTTCTCCTTATTTCATGCTCAATACAATATAAAATACTCATACACACATATACACACAAATACATGTGTGTATATGTAAGGATGGATATGCTAATAAATGTTAAAATTATAGTATATAGCCTGTGGATGTGGGATTTCCGTTTCAAAGTGCGCTGGAGTCTGCAAAGCACTACATTTCTTGGCTTATCTGATTTTCTTAACAACACAGTTGGGTAGGTAAGGCAGGTATGATGATCCCTGTTAAACAGATGAGGAGGAGCTAGGTACTTGCCAACATCAGACAGTAAATGACAGTCAAGACACAAATACGCAGTTTCTGATGTTATTAAAGTGCTCTTTGCAAAGCATTGAGTGGCTCTCAGCTTACAAATCGCCTTATTTTACAAACACATCTTTCAGATGGCACTTGATTCTCCATTGTTTCACCTCCCTATCGTGCTAGATAATGTGGAAAATTTTAGGGAAGCAGCAGAGATTCTTATTAGTCTTTCTACTCTTTTGGTTTCTTGCTTTTAGTTGATAATCATAGAGAGAGACACTATGTTTCCTCCATGTCACTGCCAGGCAGACTGTCGCATTTTGAAGTTAATTGATTATATTATCAAACTCATGAATTATAAGTGTTCCATAAGTGATATCCCAGACTTAAGCACCAACATGCAATAGAATGGCATAGACACTATCTTTGAAAAAGCTACTGTGAAAATAACTTAAGCATTCTAGCTTTTAAGAAATCATCAAATTATATCAAAATAGTTGAAAAATGAAAGTGTATTGTTAAATTTCCAACAGAGTTAGAACAAAATGCCTAATGAAATTGACTTCTAATTCTTAATTTTGCAAATTAATAGAAAAGACTCAAAGGAGCTCATTCAACCCAAAAGTGACTTTTTCTTTGTTCCATGATAACTTCTATTTCTAACCTAGGTCATACCTGTACTAAATATATTTACAGTAGTTGAAAAGCTAAAGACATATAAACAAACAAAACCCTACCTAAAATGTCACATTTTATGGTGGTCTAAAGAAGATACCTTGATATTAATTAATGCTAGCCAATACACTTCAACAAAAAGTTCTACTTATGGAGAAGCAAAAACCATGTGATAGCTAACAATAGTTTAATGTAGATAACAGATAAAATAATGTGCAATCATGAAAATATGGTCCATTACAGTCTTACCTCACCCTCTCTCATTGACAGGAAAAGATGGAATACCTTAATTTTTCTCGGTCTTTCCGTTGTTTCTCCACATGTCTAAGAGTTTCCAATCTAGACTCAGGAGTAAACAAACAGGGCTTATTCCAGAATTCCAGATCCTCTTCATCATCATGTAATTTCTTGTTGTTATGCTCCTCTACTTGTATAGCTGGTGTTTGGAAGTGGTCTTTGTTCTCTAAAGATGATCTAGGAAAAAAGAGACACAGAGCATGGATGACCAATAATAACTCTATGAGTTTCATCCCTAATTCTTCCCCTGAAAAATATCACTTTTCTTATGTCATATTTCACTTTAAAATAAAAAAAAGTCTCTGAAAAAAAAAAACAACACACAAAGTCTATCTGAGTCAAGATGGAGAAAAGTACGGCCACAAGTCTAGGGAGGCACCTTGTCCTCTGTCATCAAGGAGGTTTGCAGGCCTGGCGCGGTGGCGGGTGAGGTTTATAAAAAGCATAGTTCCTTCAGTAAATCTGCAGCAAGGCCTAGGAATTTGCACTTTACAATATTTTGTGGGAGGTTCTACTGATCAGACAACAAGGAGACCACCAGGCCTTACCAATCATTGCACCTCCAACCTTGGACCTGGTAATTCACCTTCCACTCTGCTCCCACCAAACAAATCTGATCATACTATTCTCAAGGTTCTTTCATGATTCTCCATCTCTGAAAGTCTCTTGTGGGATACACAAGGCCTCCCATAATGGCCTCCACCTACTTTATTTTTCATGGATAATTTCTGATTATGCAGTTTATGAAGATTATCTATTCTTTCTCTTATTCCTATTTTGTGAACTATGAGAAAATTAAAGATATCTTTATGTGCCATCAAATGGGTATTATGTGAGATATCCACGATTTGCTTGATAGGGACTAAAAGTATTTATTATACATCTTCTGAGTGCCAGGTCCCAAACAACCCTAGTCAAGATATACCATGACATTACTACTATCAAGAGATTTTAATCTAATGGAGAGAAAGTGACACCATTCAAACAATAAATATTGAATATAACCTATCTCCCCTTAGAATATACATTCTATTAGAAAATGATAGGGCGGCGCTGTGGCATAGCAGGTAAAGCCGCTGCCTGCAGTGCTGGCATCCCATATGGGTGCCAGTTTGAGACCTGGCTGCTCCACTTCCAATCCAGCTCTCTACTATGGCCTGGGAAGGCAGCAGAAGATGGTCCAAGTGCTTGGGCCACTGCACTCATGTGGGAGACCTGGGGAAGCTCCTGGCTCCTGGCTTCGGATTGGCACAGCCCTGGGTGTCGCGGCCATCTGGGGGAATGAACCAGCAGATGAAAGACCTCTCTCTCTCTCTCTCTCTTTCTCTCTCTTTACCTCTCCTCTCTGTAAATCTGCCTTTCAAATAAATAAATCATTTTTTAAAAAAAAGAAAATGACAGTGAATGAAAAAAACTACATTAAGCCTTTTAGTACCAAGCATAGCAAATAGTAATTACTCAGTAAACATTAGATTTTGCTCAAAAGAGGTGACACAAAAGTCTTATTTAGTTGATCTTTCAGTAAGATAGTTTCTGAGTGGATGGGACAAAGACACTAGAACATGCAGTTTAAATACTACATACAAAGCATAGAGCAAAATTCTGCTTAGATTCTTTACACACTGGGGGCACCTGGCTCCTGGCTTTGAATTGGCACAGCATGCTGGCTGCAACGCACTGGCTGTAGCAGCCACTTGGTGGGTGAACCAATGGAAAAGGAAGACCTTTCTCTCTGTCTCTCTCTCTCACTGTCTAACTCTGCCTGCCCCCCCCCCCAAAATGCAGCTAGATATTTTAATAAACAAAACAATGCAAATTACTGAAAATAAATGCTTTGTCATAAAGCTACAGTTCTTTATGGTAGTGAAAAGACAACTGGTAAAGAGGATGTATACGTTCTTACCTATTCTAGCTAACTGATACTGAAATAATTGGTTCCATGCTCATTCAAGTAACTTTTTTCCCTAAGAAGTTAAGAAGTGACTATTTGGTTCACTTTTACCTTTTACAATCTAATAACGATGATTAAAAAACCAAAAATACTTAAGAAAAACTGTTGAAATATCAGCTAAATAACATAAGTCTTCAAAGGAAAAATGTGTGTAAATTTAGGTAGCTGATTGGTGAAACAAACTGAGTTCATTAGGTTATGAACAAAACATTTCTCTTAAATCACTTCCTTTAACCTGTTCTCTTGGAACTGTCTTCCTACACATGAGCAGATCCAACAGACCTATAGTCACTTTCAAGACAGTCTCATCTCAGCTAACACTCATCTTCAGGTATTAAAACATCGATGATTTAAATAAAGCTTCAGCGTTATATCCAAACTCAGCCACTCCCTCACTCTCCTGACCCCTGTCCCTCCTAGTCCAGTTCAAGACTGGGCCACACAAAGGGAAAGGGACCTCGTCTACTACCCCCATCGCTCATCTACCCCTCACCCCTGTGTCCTGTGTCTCGTGGCTCTCCTTGGGTTCCTTCTGATTTCAGAATTCTGGGCCTGGGAGGACAGAAGGGGAGAAAGAGGTGGACATCGCTTCTGTGACCACTGCTGTTATTGCCGCCTTCTCTGAGGCCAATGCCCAGACACCAACTTCCTCTGCTTGTGAGCCTTGGTCGTTTGTGGAGATACTACATAGGAACCCTCCAAGTACACAGCTGCTCATAAGGGTTGTCAACTTCCTGGTTGTCCATTTTGTGACAACCCCTTAGATTCTGCCATTGACAATCGGCCCTACAACCCCTCACTGCTGCCACACTCTCTTTGGCTGCATTCCTTCAAGAAAGCTCAAGCCCAGCTCCATCTACCGTCTGTACTTGGCCTGCAGATACCCACAAATTCTTGCGATGTGAAACACTTGCAGTGTACGCTGCTTCCAGGAATACCCTCTTTCTTGATCCTTTTGCTCTAAGCTGCTCCTGGCCACTTCCCATCTTTCCGATTCTCCAGGCTGGAAGCAGGCTCTCTAGTACAGAGATGAGAGGCTCAGCTGCCCTCGTGCAAGCTCCAGAGCTCTGTCATGTTTCTCCTGCAGCCCTCGGAGGCAACAGCTCCCTAATCCTCCCCACTGAGTCAAAGACTCACCATTTCAGAGATTCCCTCCCAGAATGTCTAGGTTTCTGTCCTTATAGGCTAGATGGATTAGAGTGGAGATGGCTGCAGGACCAGCCATATGGTGGGGGAAGCAAGTAGGCACCCAGAAGAAACCCAACTGTAAGCTTCTACTAAAATATAAGAAAAAGATTATTTTAAACTTTTGTAACCTTCTATGAATCAAGAATAGCAAATGATCTCCAATACAGCTTTTGTGATAATTATAGCCCTGTTGCAACAAATAGGAAAAGCACAATAAGAAAAGTATATTACAGCGTAAACCCATTTATGAACATAAGTTGAAATGTTATAAATAAAATATTCACAAAATAAATGCAACGAGGCATCAACAAATACATCATGAGCAAAGTGATTCTATTCTGGAAATTCAAGGGTGGTTTAATATTAGAAATTCAAGTGATACGATTCTACACATTAACAGTAAATCATGACTATCTCAATGTAGCCAGGGAAAGCATTTAATGAATATCTTTTTTTTTTTTTTGACAGGTAGTTGGACAGTGAGAGAGAGAGACAGAGAGAAAGGTCTTTCTTCAGTTGGTTCACCCCACAAATGGCCAATACAGCCAGTGCGCTGTGCCGATCCAAAGCCAGGAGCCAGGTGCTTCCTCCTGGTCTCCCATGCGGGTGCAGGGCCCAAACACCTGGGCCATCCTCCACTGCTTTCCCGGGCCACAACAGAGAGGAACAACCAGGATAGAACTGGCGCCCCAACCGGGACTAGAACCCAGAGTACCAGTGCTGCAGGCAGAGGATTAGCCTAGTGAGCCGCGGCGCTGGCTGCATTTAATAAATATCTAATATAAAGGCGCATCAACTGAGAATAGAAGGAAACTTATTTAACATTACCAAACCCCATGGCAAACGTAATACTTAATGATGAGGATTGGGGTCATTGTTTTGAAAGTCAGGACCATGGTATAGATGCCCACTCTTACTGCTGCCGTTCTTCCCCTATATCGGAGGCTTTTGTAGGCACCATGAAGAAAATAAAGCGGATTGGAAGATTTTAAAGTTGCAGTTTACAAACAATATATAGAATATTGCAATTTTTTCAAAAAGTCAGTATAATTGCTTAATACAACAGCAGTACACAGAAATCATGTGTTTCTTTAAGCATCAGCAAGAAGCAATTATATGTCTATTTTTCATATTTTTGAAGATGTTAGGAATACATCTAATAAAAGATGGTACAAGGGATTTATAGGGAAAATTACAAACTTGGTTGAAGGACTCAGAAGAAAAATAAATAAACACAGAGAGAGCTATTCCCAAGTCCAGCAAGGAGAGTCACTGTCAGGAAGATGTCAACTTTCCCCCAGGGAATGTACACACTAGAGGCAAGTTCAACCAAAATTCCACTGGGGACTTTCAGCAAGTTCCATTAGCACACTCAACAATTCTGAGGTGGACAGTTAGCCCAATGGCTAAAACACCTGCATGCCCTATCGAAGTACCAGGATTCAATAGCCAGCTCTGGCTCTTAACTCTACCTTTCTGCTAGTACAGACTCCAGGAGGCAGGTGATGGCTCAGGGAGTTCCTGCCACACACTTGGGGAAAACCAGATTGAGTTTCTGGCTCCTGACTTTGGCCCTGGCCCATCTCCAGCTGTCACAGGCATGTAGGGAGTAACCAAGATGGACACTGTCTCTCTATATATCTGTCTCTCCCTCTGACTCTCTCTGGCTCTCTGCCTCTCAAATAGAAAAATAGTTCAAAAAATTTAAATATTCAAAGCAAACATACAATCATTATTTATTAAAATTGGGTGGTAGAACTATAGCTGCATATTTTAACATTTATGTGTACCTGAAATAGTGTATGATTATTATTTTTTTGATTTTATGAGATTCTGTAATCTATGTATTTAAAGCTGTCACAGCGTGGAATCAAATCAGTTGACTATAGTTGCAATTCACTTAAATGAGAACTGAAAATTCAGATTTGTTTAAAAAAAAAGGAGGGGTTAGTAATCATATTAAAAACTTATTATCTAACTCACAAAACAGAATGTTTTCATGATGTAATTAGAATTATCCAATTTATAATCCTGTGATCTGTATGTAGCTTTTCTAAAATATTCCCACTTTATAAATCAAAATAAACCTCTTTAATTCATCTTTCCTGTGCGTCTTTGATAGAGATTTCTCTGAGGATAATTTTAGATGCAATTTAGAGTTACTGGTATGGAGAGGCACTGTTTTCTAAGGGAAGAAAATTTCACAGTATTATTGCAAACAATGGGATGCTTCTATCCTGCCTGCCCTCCCAATTCACATCATATTTTATTCTTCAAATCAATCTTCTGGAAAATAAATGACACCCTGAAGACCTCAGGAAGGCAACTTAGTTTGCTGTTTTTCCCAGGAGTTAACTGGAAAGTCAGCGCTAATGAGTTACATACAGTGGGGTATTGATGTCGGTGTACCATCGTCCATCAAAGCCTGGATTACTTCTCTTGTCTACATTTCCATGCTCCTCTTGAAGTTTCTTCTGAGCCTCTTCTCTCTCTTTGGCTCGTTTGAGGCAGTAAGCTTGTTCTTGTTCTCTGATTTGTTGTTCAGTTACTGGATAGTTCTGCAATGCCTGAATCCTTTCTGAACGTTCTATTTCTTTACCATCCAGCCACTTAAATAAAAAGCAAAAAAACACAGTACAGTTACTCACATGTAGCAGTGTATATCAGCATTGTATATCAGTGTTGCAGTATTTAGAATTTAGAAATAATAATACAACAACCTTAGCGATTTAAAATTAAACCAAAGTAATTAATAGGAAATATCAGAAACATTGATCTAAATTGATATTTATTTCAATCAACAGTTTATAAAATACCTTTACCAGTAATAATAATAAGTAGGCTTTCTGTAAAAGCCGATAATTATAGACAAACTTTCAAAGTACCTTGTATTACTTTTTTTAAAAGATTTATTTATTTGAAAGAGCTACACAGAGAGAGAAGGAGAGCCAGAGAGAGAGGTCTTCCATCTGCTGGTTCACTCCCCAATTATCTGCAACTGCCAGAACTGCACCAATCTGAAGCCAGGAGCCAGGAGCTTCCTCCAAGTCTCCCACGTGGGTGCAGGGGCCCAAGGACTTGGGCCATCCTGTACTGCTTTCCCAGGCCACAGCAGAGGGCTGATCAGAAGTAGAGCAGCTCGGGCTGGAACCAGCGCCCATATGGGATGCCGGCACTGCAGGTGGCGGCTTTACCCACTATGCCACAGCATCGGCCCCGCTTGTATTACTTTTATAAATGTTCCCTCTACCAAGAATTTCAATGCTGAAGTCAAAGCATGGTTCCAAAGTGTAACAATAACACTTCCCGAATGCTCTCTATGAAAAGGGCAGAAAGTTGATGCACACTCATTTCCTTGGCCCTGTCCCACGGTGCTAGGAAACCAGGCACTCAGAAGCCCACCCAGATGACTACTGCATCCTAAGTGTGCTCATCATCCTATCAAAGCCGTCAATTTAAGATACTTACTTATTTATTACATAAAATCAGATGCATTTCAATTTAAGATACCTGCTTATTTATTATATAAAGTCAGATGCATTTGAATTTAAGATACTTATTTATTATATAAAATCAGATGCATTTCAATTTAAGATACTTATTTATTATATAAAACCAGATGCATTTTATAGGAACAGGTGAAATACTCATGAAGACATGGTAGGCTGATATTGGTTCTTCAATAATGTCCACATTCTTACCTCCATGAATGTAACCTTACATGGCAAAAAGCATTTTGCAGATGTGATTTAGGTTAAGGGTCTGGGATGAACAGAGTAGATGGTCCTTACATAGCTCACCAGTAAAAGAGGCAGAAGTGGCAGGGTAAGGGTGGGGAGAGATGTAAAGATGCTATACTGCTGGCTTTGAAGATGGGGAAGAGACCACTAGCCCAGAAATGCAGGGGCCTTCTAGAAGCTGAACAAAGAGAGGAAAAGAATTCCTCCCAGAGTTTCCAGGAGGAATAGACCCACTAACACCTGGGCTTCAGCCCAATGAAGCCATTTCAGACTTCTGACCTCTACAACTACAAGATAGTAAATATGTATTGCTTTAAGATACAAGTTTGTGTTAATTTGTTACAACAGCAAAAAGCAAAGGCTAAAATAAAAGCGAAAACACATATACAATTTAGTAAAATACACGTTTTAAAAACTATCAGGAGAGGACTTGGAAAAATGGTGGATTAGGGAGCAGCACGCTTCACAGGGCTAGGAAGAAACAGTGCAGAGAATAGTGTAGGAGGTACATGCTCAGAAGTGGAGAGAAAACCACCTGGGAAGCCCCGCGGTAGGAGGGGAAACGGCTTGAATGTGTGTGGTGAGTGCTAACACAAACCCCGAAAACCTGAGAACTTGAGTCACAGACAGTCAGAACCGACAGCTCAAAATTTTGAGATGGAGGAAGTTGGTCTGCACCAATCTTTGGGAGTACTGAGCCAGAGAGCAAGGCATGGGTCTGGACTGGAGCCTGGGGAGCTGGTGGTTGCTGGTGGTTGCCTGTGGTCCTAGTGGAAGTGGAGAGGGGCAGCTGATTCAAACCAGTATCTCCAAAACAGAATGCGCGAGCTGGCTGAGAGAGGGTGGGTGCCATTTTAAAACAGGACTACCACTAGGGAAGCCTGTAGCTCACTGCGTCAGGACACTTGAATGCAGCACTGGCAGCAAAGGCGGGCAGGCATTAAGCCAGTGGCTCTAGCGTGTGGGTGTGATCTAGGGCAACAAGGGGAAGGAACAGTCCACAGCCCCCACTGCCTCAGAGCTCGGCGGGAAGGTGGCGGGCACCTACGAGAGACGAGGAACTCCCACACCAGCAGCACCCTCTGGTCTAGGTGTCTCCGGGAGCCTTATGTGCTGAGACCTTGAGGCCTCTGTGGCTACGTGAAAAGGCATAGGGCTTAGCTGGGATCCAACTTGGGTGTTACCCTAGAAACTCACCTTAACCTACAGCATTGACCAGAGTCCCCTGGACACACCCTCTACACACTTCCTGGTAGTCTCTGAAAGGGCAGACATTGCATGAAGCCAAAGAAGCATAACCCCAAAGATAAAAACCAACAGAAGAAAAAAAAAATCAACTCCACAAATGCTGAAACATAAGAGCCGAAATTCAAGAAAGAATAAGGAAGTAACCATGATCCCCACAGAGGAACACAACATTGCAATATTAGAATGTGAAGAGGAAGAGACCGAGGAGATGCCAGAAGTGGAATTTAGAAAAAATCATAGGGTTACTCAAAAAATCAGAAGCAAATTCATGAACTAAAGAAAACCATACATGATATGAATGAAAATTTTTCCCAGGAAATTGAGACTATAAAGAGAAATCAAAGTGGAATATTAGAGATGAAGAATTCAATGGGTCAAATAAAAAAAAAAGTGGTGGAAAGTCTTAACAGCAGACTTGATGAGGCAGAAGGAAGAATATCTGAACTAGAAGACAAATCTATGGAAATCTTAGAGTCAGAAAAAAAAAGAAGAAGAAGAAAATAGAAAACTTAAAAACAGTGTTGCAGGGGCCAGTGCTGTGGCACAATAAATTAATCCTCCACCTGCAGCACCGGTATCCCATATAAGCGCTAGTTCTAGTCCCAGCTGCTCCTCTTCCAATTAGTTCTCTGCTAGGGCCTGGGAAAGCAATGGAAGATGGCACAAGTGCTTGGATCCCTGCACCTGCGTGGGAGACCTGCAAGAAGCTCCTGGCTCTTGGCTTTCGATGGGCCCAGCTCTGGCTGTTGCAGCCAAATGTGGAGTAAACCAGTGGATGGAAGACTTTTCCCTCTGTCTCTAAGTCTACCTCTCAAATAAATCAATAAAATCTTTAAAAAAAAAAACAGTGTTGAAGATCTATGAGATAATATCAAATGACCCAACATACAGATCTTATGAGTTCCTGAAGAAGTAGAAGGAGTGAAGGGAATAGAAAGCCTATTTAGTGAAATAATTACAGAAAACTTCCCTAATTTGAAGAAAGAAATGGATGTTCAAGTAGAAGAAGCACACAGGACTCCTAACAGACATGACCAGAAAAGATCTCACCATGACATATTGTAGTCAAACTTTCCATAGTAAAACATAAAGAAAAGATTCTAAAATGAGCACAAGAGAAATACCAGATTACTTTCAGAGAGGCTCCAATTAGACTCACAGCTGACTTCTCATCAGAAACCCTAAAGGCTAGAAGGGAATGTGTGAGATATAGTCCAAGTCTTAAAAGAAAAAAACTGTCAACCCAGAATACTTCACCTCACAAAGCTTGCATTTATTAGTGAAGATGAAATAAAGACCTTCCATAAGAAACAGAAGTTGAAAGAATTTGTTGACACTCATCCAGCCTTACAGAAGATGCTTAAGGATGTGCTACACACAGAAACATGGCCATCACTATGAAAGAATGAGAAGGCAGAAGAGCCACTAGTGAAAATACAAAAGAAATCCTAAGTAAACAATAGGAATATTTATGGAAAAATGGCAGGGCCAAGTCAGTACTCATCAATAGTCACCTGGAATGTAAATAACCTCAGTTCTCCCGTTAAAAGATACAGATTTGCTGAATGGATTGAAAACAACATCCATCTATTTGCTGCTTACAAGAAACACATCTCACCAACAAAGATACATGCAGACTGAAAGTGAAAGGATGGAAAAAGATAGTCCATGCTAACAGAAACCAAAAAAGAGCTGGTGTTGCTATCCTAATATCACAAAAAATAAACTTCAACATAACAACTGTTAAAAGAGATGAAGAAGGGCATTATTTAAAGAGGAAGGGATCAATCCAACAGGAAAATGTGACTATAATAAACATATATGCAACTATCACAGGGTACCTGTGTACTCAGAAAATGCTAATAGACCTAAAGGGAGACATAGACTCCAATACAATAGTAATGGGGATTTCAATACCCCACTTTCAGCAATGGACAGATCAACCAGACAGAAAACCAGCAAGGAAACAACAGAGTTAATTGACACTATAGACCAAATGGACCTAACAGTTATCTATGGAACCTTTTACCCAACAAAGACAGAATACAGATTCCTTTCATCAGTGTATAGAACATTCTCTAGGACAGACCATATGCTAGGTCACAAAGCAAGTCTCAGGAAATTCAAAAACATTGAAATAATTCCATGCATCTTCTCAGACCACAATGCAATAAAGCTTTAGATCAACAACTCAAGAATCTCTAAAACATACATAAACAATGGGAGACTAAAAAGCATGCTCCTGAATGAACAGTGTGTCACTGAAGAAATTAAAAGAGAAATCAAAAAAAATTTCTGGAAACAAATGAAGATGACAATACATCATATCAAAATCTATGGGATACAGCAAAAACAGTGTTAAGAGGGAAGTTCATATCAATTAGAGTACCAAAGTTACTAAATAAATGAGCTATCAATGCATCTCAAGGACCTAGAATATCAATAACAAACCAGTAGGAGGAAAGAAATAATCAAAATTAGAGAAGAAATAAACAAAATTAAAACCAAAAAAATTACAAAAAATCAGTGAAATAAAAAGCTGATTTTTTGAAAAACAAACGAATTGATATACCATTGGTGCAAATAACAAAATAAAAGAAGGAAAAGACCCAAATCAATAA